GCAATGTAGGTCAATAAAATACAAATATGGCATTCTAGATAGATTTTGTTTCAAAATATTTAACTTTATCTTTTCTGATAAGTATATTCTTTGTAGATATTCCAAAAGTAGGGACATTCATATTGCTGTGCAATGTTGGGAAGTTGTCGTAACACAATCTTTTTCTTTATAACTTTCCTTGTGTTAGTAAAATATCAGCAAATGTTTTAGTCTGAAGACATCAAAATTTAACGATAATATTGAAAAGTTACCTCCCTTATACACTGGCTTTGGGGGTGGATGCTAGCATTTTAAAATATAAAAGAAAATGTTTTATCAACTATTCTCCAGCATTCCTCGGGTGACTTTTCATCAGGTCATCTACTCATTTAAAATGGAAGTTTGTAGAGTTAAAAACGATTTTTAGCGTCTTAAATTCGTACCAATTTTGCTATTTTTAATGTAACACCCTTGTTTGTATTTGTAGCGATGCTTATGTCCAGTTTTTGTGAGAGGAAAATATTTCTTCTAGTCAATTTATATGCAAACATGTACAAGCAGATTTAGAATACAATACCTTATATATCTTATTCATGGATCTAAACTTACATCATACTGACAGAACCATGGTGTTTTTTGTCATCTATTGAATAAATTTCAATTAAATTAAAAATAAAGAGAAAAGTGATCACAGAAGGAGTGACATAAAAATTAATCAAGTTGCACTTAAGGATTTGTCTCATATTATTATCCCTAAGTTCATTAATAATAATAATAATAAACCTATCCTTTGTTCATTGGTTAAATATGTAACCATATTTTCCACCATATTTGTGGTCTCATTTAAGCACTTCAAATGACTATGCTGAAAAGATCTTAGAATAAACAAACTGCAACATAAAGTCAGAATTATAAAGCAATATGTGCAACTTTCATGTCAATCAATGCTCCATGTTGTGGTTTTAAAGTTTGAGTCATCACTGGATGCCTTATCACTAAGGTCTGATGGAAGCCTAGTGAATATCTGTAATGAATACTTATGCTTTTATTTGTATCAAAATTGCTGCACTTTAAGAAGCTTATAAAATAAACCTAATTCTGTTTTGTTTGAAGCACACTCAAGAATCCTTTGAGAAAAGATTTATCTACAAAGATGAAGTGTGCCATATAATTCCTTTTCTATGCAATAATCTTTTATATTCTTTCACCCTACCTCTCTGGATTTTCCAGCTTGTTAATTGTCTTCAGGTGAAGGAGTTTTAGTGCAGAGCCACGTCATTGGTCTTGCTATACAATGTGGTCAAGTATATTTTGCTGACTGAACACAATATTTGTATCTAGGACCGGTTTGAAGCCCAAGACTGCACTGAAGGTAGAAACCTGGAGATGGATGGAGAATTAGCTAAGATATTAAAAGGATGAATAGGCTAGTCCAGAAACAAATTTTATATCAAGTAATCACTGTGAATAAAAACTAACTATAGCAATAATTTATTTTCATGTAGCATCAATCTGACATGCTAAAATCTTCAAGAGATGTTTTAAATAAAATATCCATATCTATGTTAAAATTTATATGATACATATATAATTTAAATATCAAGTTTGGCTCTATAGCAAGAGATAACTGAACAAGGCATCAACAAGAAAATGAAGACAATCAAAATTTTCAACATTCTGTTTGGTGGTATAAGGCTATGATTGATATAACTAGAAGATAAATGTCATTTTCTTTGTGCTTACAAATTTATAGTAATAATAAAAGTTACTTCTTAATAATCTGAAGACAGGTTAAAAGTATCATTTGTCTTCTGGTGGGAAATGAAGAAGGAGAATAAAAATGTAAATGTCTGGAGTATAAAGACAAAGAAAAAAAAAGAAAAAGAATGGGAAAACTGAAGATAAAAAGCAGCAGCAGTAGAGAAATTACAAATCTTCAACTTTTATTGGTCATTCTTGTCTTCATATGAAAAAAAAAAAAAGAAGAAGAAGAAAAAGCCTATGACAAATGGTAGTTTCTAAAAATTTGGAACAGTAGGAAGAATAGTTGTATGAGCAAACAGTAAATGTTGAGCATACAGTCAGAGAAAAGTTTACCAAAAACCAAGACAGAAAAGAGAATTATTTTTGGGGACAGAACAGAATAGAGAGAAAGGAAGAAATTAAGCAGAAACTAATGTTTTATTTTCTTTAATATTATAGATCAGAATGATGGGGATGGCATGAAATCAAGGAAAAATTGAAATATAAACAAAACAACAGCCTTTTTTGCTTCCCACCCCCTATAGAAATTTAATGGCAAAAACGTTTTTTTAGATGGTGCATAACACTTCCATGGCAGATGGAAAAAAAAAAAAAGTGAATATAAGAATTTTTATATTTGATTATGTTTTCATTTTTTTTAAATTTTATTAATGTTTTTTTTTTCCTTAAGTCTTTCTTTTCTTAATCATATTGATTCATGAAAAAAATAGGGTAGCTCAAACCCAATAATTTTTATTTTCCATTTTCATGTAGCTTTTGTATACCATTTCTTCATATTAAAAGCTCCGAGGTAGAAATGTCCAAAACAAGATGGTACAACAGAGAATCCAACCCAATAGGCAAAACTGAACAGATTTGTTCAGAGGCTTTTTTCATGAACCATTTCCCAGTAAATACATAGTATTTAACATTTTGCTCCCAAATGAATTGCCTCTGATGATTTTATCACCATTTAAGCTTGAAAAGTAGGTCCCTTTTTTTAAAATTTTGATATAAAATTTAAAGATCTAATATATATATATATATATATATATATATATATATATATATATATGTCTGTGTGTGTATAAATAAATAAAATTTGCATTTTTATATAAATATAGGGAGCTACCTTTCAAACACTATATATTTTTCATACACACACGCACACACACAAAGAAATGCTAAAAAGTTCTCAGTCTGACCCATTTAAATCTGAACAAATATCAGAATTTTGATGGTAATTCCTTCTTGGTTGGGCAAAGAACCTTTCAGCACCCCCCATATATATATATATATGTGTGTGTGTGTGTGTGTGTGTGGATATGCCTGTGCACAGATAAATAAGGATAATTGTTTTCATGTTTGCAGCAAAATAATTAGCAGGTGAATGTACAAACTATTTTCTTCTCTTTGTTTTTGTTTTGCCATGTCAAAATGAAGAATATGACAATATACACAAAAACCTTCTTGGTAAAGGCTACATTTTTACATTATAAGATGTTCCAACAAAGATCTTAAAAGATCCAAAGAAATCTTACTTTACCAGTTTTCCTATTTTTGAATAAATTAGATTTTAAAACATTCTTCCAATTTTCAACTGGCCTGAAAAACCAATTTATTGTTATTCATGATTTATAAAGAAGGAAGAAATGAAATGGTAAACATTAAATATATCAATAAATAAATGTTTAATGGTTTTTCTTTTTTTGATAAAATAAAGATAAAGAAAAAAATGCCATAGAATTTTTTAATGAAAACACTAAAAGACATATTCACAGTATTTTCTTTGTTAAAAATTTTAACATCAAAAATTTCTACAAGAGATAAGAGGAAAAAAATAGGATGGGAATTTTATTTGATTTTGCTTACTGACACATTGATAGCTCTCTAAGAGATAAATTTTTTTTTTTTTTTTTTTTTTTTTTTAGTGCCATGAGAATGTGGGGTTTGTCAGTCACCAAATTTGAATCCCATCCTGGACTCGATCTCTGACCACTGGTGCCACAGTCAGAAGATACCTCATCTCATCATTATGGGATGAGGAGTGAAAACGAAGTTGTGGAGGGAAATAAATGATCGTTTATTGTTTAATCAAATTGAGAAGCTGTATCACAGACACACAGAGCCATGGTCATTATAATAGTGATAGGTATTGAATAGCTAAGAGAAACTGGAGAGATGGGAATGAAACGTTTTGGTAAAGGCAAGGCAGGGTGGGGTTTCTTGTTAGTTCTGACTGTAATCATTCTTTTTTTTTTTTTAATTTTTTTTTTTTTTTACAATAAAGAACAAAATCTAAAGAGAAAAAATGATGTATCAACATGCAAAGAAAGGGAGTTTTGTATTTTTATAAGGGAAAGAAAAACATATTTAAAAAAAATGAAAAAAACTCAAACAGACGAGCCACTGGCACTGAAGACAGAGTAAGGAATCAAATCAGAGAGCAAACAGAAGTTTATTCAAGGAGAACCAATTAACACATTCATTAAGGTTTGATATTTTATGAAATGAGGTATTGCTGATATTCACTGACTTGTTGGGACTAACATTCTCATCATTGAAAGGTAAACAAAAATTAGTTGCCAACACTTGACAGACTCAGTTATATACAGCAGCATATAAAGAGAATATAAACAACTACATAGCCATAAAACAGCCATTGGTAAACTTCAAACACACAACTGGACCTGCCAATCTGATCCAGCATCTTTTTTTTTTCCTTATCTTTTCTACACTCTCAGCTACCATGGCATTTATATGTGGCTGTATATATTCATTGTATGGATGTATGCACATTATTGAAATAATCAAATGTACTTAAATAATTGTCAGTTCCATTAATAACAGTTGATCAAAGCTTCACTAGAAAAATCATTGTGTGTGTGTGTTTTTAAATTTGTATTTCAAACAGGTTTATCAGTGATTATCTTCAAGAAGATAATATAAAACTTGAAGAGCATCATTAAATTGTATGTTTGGAATTGGATGATAAGATGAAGATGTTGGTCCACATTAGCCAATGGATAACACATTTCTGTAGGCAAAATACAGCCACATGCACTTTATGCATGCAGACGAATAATGAGACTCAAGACACTGCCACCTTGCATAGTCAACATGACGGTATCAATTTAGTTTTTCCCTTTTCATGTTCATTTGTTAGTTGTGATTTAAGTTAAGACTTGGGCAAGTGTTTTATTTACACCTAAATATGATGAAAATATAAAGACTGAAAATATATAACAAGTAATATACAGTTGAAACTGTATTGCTGTTCAATTAGGGAACAAAGAAGAGAGAGAGAGAGAGAGAGAGAGAGAAAACATCCGGATACTATATTTGTGGTGGTGTTGATGAGAGGGAGGGAAGGGAAATCGTCTGTTGGATGAGCAACTGGATGGATGATTAAATTACAGTGAATCTGTGTGTGGGTGAGTATAAGTTCATGCATGCATAGATAATTGTCTGAGCAAAAAATATACTCATATATATACCAGAGCACCATCTAAAATGTGATGCTTTAGTTTCAGTTGAAAATTCAGTCTCATCAAGAATGGGTTTCGCCTATCAAGAAAAATCGCTAAATACACACATCTCCAAAGGAGATATTTCCAAAAGTACATATACATGCTCAGAAAATAATCTATTACAATTAGATTATGAGAAAATAGTCTGGGATAATAATAATAATAATAATAATAATAATAATAATAATAATAATATTATACACATGAAACAGCTTATTTCCCACCCCATACTTTTTCTCAACCAAATTTTGTTTTCCTATACACACTCTGCAAGGATTGTATATAATTAATGTTTCTGAGTTAAGATTGACATTTGAAACTTACATGTTTTGACACTGCCCATGCACCCATGTATGCAGATATTCCTAAGCACATGTACAGAGCTTGGATGGCAACACTGTTTTTATGATGTGTAATAATGAGACAAAAGATATTAAGAAAGTGGTTTTGCTCTTCTAGGATTTTGTCCAATGATTCATAGAATATAGACAGGACAAGAGGAGGAGGAGGAGAAACAAACAAACAAAAAAAAAAAATAAATAAATAAAGTGAAATGTATTTTGAGCAAATGATGTCTTTTCTTCTCTAATTAAATTAGTAGAGAATTCAAGAGAACATCTCCTTGATTGATAGGTGAGAAAAAAAATCAATTGATGAAAAATATGATGGTGAAGAGCACTATTTTTCCATAGCCTGGTGTGCCCCAGAATGGCTGGTCTGGTTATGGGTTCAATCCCACTAATGGCAACTTTATTCTTTGTTTTGTTATTATTTCTACATATGTACAAAATTTAGAGAATATTTTTGTTAAGACAATTCAGAAGAGTCAAGTTATACAGTGTTTAAGCAAAGGATTCTATCCTCTGCCATCATAACTGATGTGAGGTGATGTGGTGGGAATTTTTTTTCTTTTTCTCAAATTGATATTGTAGAAAACACCAAGCCTGGAACAAAAAAAAAATGGTTGATTTTGTTTGCATAAGAAAATTTCAAGGCAGAATCCTTGAAAAATATCTTCACAGAAATAAATATTTTTGCTAGTCATTCAAGATAGATTTTGTATAATGTTGTTAAAATTCATTTCTAGTTCATTTATGCAATTTGAATAAGGCTGTTGACAAACCCGAAGAGAAGAGTTTTTATATACAAGCAAATATTTAACCAGTAAGTATAGTGCAGGTAATGAATATATACTGATTAAAAGTGGCATCGGGTTATGAAAGACTTGTACAAGTCAAGGCAATTTTTTAAATATTTTTTTTTTATGCTATATAAGTTCTATTCAAATTCAAAGTATTATTCAAATAACTTTTCTCTTTAACTTGCAGCAAATAAAAACAATAAAAAAAAAAAATGACTAAATTCAATATTTTTCTTCTGATTTTCATCATATCAAAATTTGCCTGATTCACCAGAAAAATAATTATGCAGGAAAGAATTAACATGTATGAAAAGAAAGAAAATAGATGAATTAATCAATAGTATTAAAGCATGTTTAAGACTTGAGTTAATACACTTTATGAAATGAGGGAGGTATCACTAGCATTTCTAAGGTGTAGAAGGCGTATGTTATCCTCAACTTCATAGCTTACTTGCTTTTATAATCTTTAAACATCACTGAACAATAAGTTGCAGGGAGTTTCCTTAAGAGGTCACTCATTGAGATCAAAACAGAAATGGTCAATTAGAAAATCCAACTACACCATGTTGTCTGATGATGATCAAATAACAAATGAATATATTAAAATGTCAAGGTGAGGATGATACTGAGAAAAAAATTATATGGCATTAGGTTTTAGAAATAGTAAAATATTCTCTAAGTCTGCCTGTATCCTTTTCATGGACGCATGTGTGTGTGTGTGTGTGTGTGTGTTTTCATAAACGGTAAAATTATTAAAAATAGAGCCTGAGACATTCACTCCATTTTGGAAGAAGAAATATTAATGTGTTTGTATATGCATGTACACATACATTAATACAAACACCATATTAATATTTTTGTACTCGGTTAATATCATATAGTTATAGATTTCTTTTAGTACAGCTAGATATGTTTATAATACCTCACTGAATATGGCAAACCTTGGGTGGCATTTTTTTCATCAGATTTACAATAATAAAAAAAAAAAACCTTATCACCTAGAAGAAAAATCTCCTTTAATTTTTCCCATACTTATCTTTTTCTGTTAAATAAGAGAATCATTTCAATAGTCTATTAAAAGAAAAAGTAAAAAGTTATGCTGAAAAAAATAAAGAGAAACATAAGAGATTGGCCCCACAGAATTAACTGACTTAAAATATATTAAAAGGTATATTCATTTACTGAGGGTGAGGGGAAGAGGAAGAACTGTCATTTGTCTATAATGGTATTAAAGAAGAAAACGTTTGCTATTACTGCTTTTTTCACATTATTTTTCTCTCTCTTCCACTTTCCTATTTCTTCTCTCACAAACATTTAAGTAGATAAGAAACAGGTCTTTAACTGCTTATAAGCAACCAGAAAAGAATATAGTTGTATATATTTACTATAATCACAATAAATAATTTAGCCATAGTCATAACTGGTTGTTTACATGCTGACATTTGTAAGCATCCGTATAGATGTGGCATAATGTATTTTTTCTGTTCTAAAAGTAAATGACGTATAAGCAGAAAAAATATCTCTATCAAAATATTCTTTCAACTTTTAAAAAAATTGATATGTCTTAAGACTGATAAAAATCACAAGGAAAGACAAAGATAGAACATATTTTGTGAGTTTTGAAACGGGAGAGAGAGAGAGAAAGAAAGGGAAAAAAGTAGGTGATGAAAAGAAAAAAATTTTCTGCAATGTAAACAAAAATGTTATGAATGATTAAGTGTTATATTCTTCTCCTTGAAATAATATCCTGCCCGACTATAGCCAGTGTCTTGAAATAAAAAATATATGTATACATTTATTATTATCATTATTATTATTATTATTATTATTAATAATATTTAATATGTCATCTTTTTTTATCATTATCATATATTTTCCTTTCATTATAATTAGTACCGTCCTTATAATATTAATATTTAATTACATGAGAATGCTTTGAACAGCAGCATCTAAATCATCTTCAATCTGCATGTCAGTGTCTGTAGCACTAACAAGACTGTTCTCATCAAGTGACCGATCATGAACAGAAGAGTAAAAGTCTTGTGGCACTCCACTTGCAGCAGCTGAAGAAGCAACAGCTGCAGCAACAGTAACAGCCACTCCAGTGTCCATTGCAGTATTGGCTACAGTACAAGCCACACTGCTGTCCACAGAGGCACCACCACTGGCTAGGCTACTGGTGGTGCTCACTCCCCCAACATTGCAGGAGTGGTGTGAACTGCTGTTACTGTAATCATCCATCGGACTGTCCACAATACCAAAGTCACTTGATGGTATGGTTTGCTCCTGCGTGAGACCCAGGATGCTGTTCACGGCGCTCTCTGTCTGTTGTTTTAGCTTTGGATCGGTGTAGGCATCCGGAATGTCTGCTATACAGTCTGTGGACGAAGTGGAGGAGACAACAACCACTTGTGGTTGCTGGTTGCTTGTGGGATTGTTTCCTCCACCACCACTACTACTACTGGTGGTTGCCCCGGTACTGCTACTGCTGTTGGTGGCAGCAATAACAGGGGACGGAGCAGGTTCTGCATTGTGCAAGGTAGACGACCCAGAAAGGATGGATTGTACAGTGTCCTCAGAATTTAAAACTAAATTAGTCCTATGTGCCAGTGAGTCAAGACTACACTCAGAGACAGCCATACTGTCAGTATTGTCAAAGTCCACAATACTTTCAACAGCATTCTGCAATTCAGAACTAGCAGCAGTAGGCAGGGGCAAGTCCTCGGGGACCAAGTTTGATGTGGACTGCAAGGGGAAATGGCAGTTTCCTAGCAGGTCGTCAGACACAAAGTCTTCGAGGGAATAGGTAGCAGATGGGTCCGGCTCATAAGTTTTAGGACTGAAATGAGAATTCCCTAATGCAAAAGAATTTGAGTTGGAATTACCTAGAGAGAACTGAGGCAAAGCAGACTGGTGGCGGTCAAAGCCAAGGTCTGTTGAGCCCAGTTCTTGCTTAATACTACTGGTTGATGGATTTTCTGGCAGGATGAAATCAACCGTAAAATCCAACCCATGAAAGGATGACAGAATATCATCTGGAGGAGATCCTTCCAGGATATCTGTATCCGATTTAATTCGAGTTCGTTGGGACTCAGACTGATAACTATTCCTCCGATCTTGGTCGGCTAACTGACCTTCAAGGAAATCTTCCTCGTCCATAAAGAGGTCATTGTTCGAGGTGTCACAATTTTTCTGAAATGCAGAGGTTGTAGTTGTTGTTGCGGGTGCTGTGCTGGAAACCCCAGCCACAGGTACCAAAGAGTTTGCAACAGTGGCAGGTGTCAACAAAACAGGCACTGTTGATGCCGGCATTGTTGTCGGTTGTATAATTGCTGCTGTAATGGCATTTGCTTTTGTTGCCACAGCTGTTACAGGTGCTGCAGTCACCATTGTTGTTGTTGTCGTTGTGGTGGTGGTGGTTGTGGTGGTGGTGATAGTAGTTGTTCCAGTGGTCAAGACCATGATACCACCAGATGGAGCAGTACATCTATGAAAATTTGATGAGGACAACATTTCTTGCTTTACGACATTTGAAGTACTGGCTGCTGGCAATGAAGTTTTCCATTCAGCATAATTTTCTTCACTCACAGGTTCTTGTTTTATTTCTATTGGGGAGAACTTTATGTCAGGGGGTTCTTTCTTTACTGTAACACAACTTGTGTGGTCTTTTTCATTCTTTTCAGTCTTTGGAGGTTTAGGGGATTTCTCTTTCTTCACTTTGACAGAGAGGCTGCTGCTAAAACTGACCCCATCATTCCGGATAACCAACTTGACACTCCGTGGAGGTGAATGCTGTTGTTCCCCTCGACCTGAGCATTTCCATTTCTTTCCAGAATCAGAATAACGATCTTCCTTGCTATCTACAGGTTCTTTTTTGTTTACAGAGAGGAAGGGCATTTTACTTGAAGAATTTGATTTACATTCAATGTAGTCATCCTTGGTAGGCTCAGCTTTAATGCACTCCTCTTTGTAATCAGAGCTTTCATCCTCTGTTTCCAACTTAAGCAGCTTTCTTGGCATGGGTTCAAAGTCATCTAAAAAGGCAGTAAGAAAGAAAAGTTAACAAAAGGCCACTAATATCACAAGTGATATTAACAACTGAATACAATTTTGTATGTTAGAAAGATTTACTACTGGATCTTTTCATATTAAAAAAGCACATGAATATACAAATTACTTTTCAACTACATAATTATTTCAATGCAAAGAGTTTCAATTAAGTTCAGCAAAATAATTTGTCTCTGTATACTTTCTAGATAACCCTGGTGAATAATTTATTCTGAATTAAAGAAGATATAAAATGATACTATGCAGTGAATGAGATGGAATTATGATGTGAAAACACATAAAATAATATTAACAAGATTCTAAACTCCAAAAACACTTTATTTTGAGAGATTTTACATAAGAATAAGAGCATTAAGATTTTAAAGTAATACATTTTATGAGATAAATTTTTTAAAATAAAATCTCCCTTATTTTGACTGCAAAAATTATTCTCAGTCAAGTATAACAGAAAAAAAATAAAAAAGATTATACAAATTGGAAGCAGATTCATTATTCATAGAAAATAAGACTTATAATTAAAATCAACAGTACAACTTTTATAATTTACAAAGTTCTATGTACAATTAATTTGTTCTCTTTTAGAGCCAATCATAACACTTCTAATTTTTACCCAAGATTGCATTCAATGAATCTATATAGTTAATATTTATAATTTGCAATTTACCAATTAACAGTAAAATAAAAACCTAAATAATCAGAAGGGAAAAAATATTTGATCAGTACATCACAAATAGAAGAAAAAACGAAAATTAGTTATCAAAACAATTGACAACAAAGTAATTGTATTTGGCAGGATTTACCTGGATTTTCAGCAGCTATTTTTCTTTCTTCCTCAAGGACAGCAGTCATGTCTTGGTTCAGCATCCGCTGAATCATAACCATTTCAGCTGATGGTTTATCTCGCTGTAAAGCAAGTAAGATAGAGTAAATGATTGTATAATTAAAAACTAAGTTAATGATAAAGAAAAAAATTATAATTTTATTTATTTAGTGAATATAAATAAATATAATGCTGTATCAAATTATGGCTGCTTTTGTAAAAAAAAAATTGAATATTTGAAGAAAAAGGCAAAATAATATGAGTAAAACTTTAAACAGAGACTTCAAATGAAAAATATTAGCACTAAACCATTAATGAAATCTCTATAAAAGCATAAACTAACATTAAATCAAATTACTCTTGTGATAGTATGAGATACACTGGAACTTTTAAGTTTCTAAAAGTGGGGAATAGATGAAATGAAAGCAACACATTTTTAACTGCTGTGAAAACATCAAGTCTCTTCACAGCTTTTATGTTCTCAACATAAACCCTTAAAATAAAAGGGTCACTACTGCTTGCAATTCTTTATATAAAAATGTTTGGGCTTAAACAGACACACTGCTTCTATGTCTACTTGCTTGATAACCATTTGGCCATGTATAATCACATTAACACTTGCTAACTGCAAGAGACACACAAAACTCCAACTATGATTTGATATGATCCTTCCTCAAAAATTTTACAATTGAACCCTAATTTTGTGACATGCTGTGTCGCTGTACTAGCAGGAAATAAACAATTTTGCTTGTCATTTCCTGCCTGGATCCTACTTTAGGTACAAAATGTTTGATACTCATATAACACTCTCACAATTGATGGTTAATATGAAACATGCACAGAAAAGAAATTATACATGATCTTGTTTTAAAACTAATCAGAATTATAGTGAATATTTAAAAAAAAAAATTATATATAAAGAACTGGAAGAAATTAATTTTTTCAGCAAACAAAACAGCAAATATCTGCATAGTATAAACATGTATTTTTGTAATACATACCATACTTTCTTCTAATAACAATAATCTGTATTTATCAAACATGGCATCTTTCTTCTTTAAAATATCTTTAGCAGCTTGTTCAAACAATTGATCAGCTGAAAATGAAAGAAAAACAATAAATAACTTGAAAGATTTCAGCAGAAATATTAGACAAATTTTTTTTGCTAATCGAAAACTGAAGTGTTTTATTTGTTACAATTTTCCATAAAATGGGGGGGGGTACTAATATAAGAAAGATAATTAAAAATGATGACAGCATGAATTATTCAACTTATTAAGAGAATAGCACTTTGATACTAAATTGTCTTATTGATTTGAGGAGTATGGGCACGATAAGATTTGATGGAATAAATTTCAAGAAAAATGAATAATTCAAAAGAGCAAAATATGAAAAAAAACCAAAAAAACAAAAAACAAACTTGAAATGGAAAATAAGTTACAGAAGTAAAATGAATTTAACCTTTGTCTAATTTTTCTTGTGTTGGTCCCCAGTCCTGGAATACATGGAAGCGAATCAAACGTTTGCAGGCATCTTGTTTGTCTTTGAATGGTGCCTTCGTGTCAGATTTTAATGCAGATGCTTGGTCTCGGCTAAGTCGTTGATGAATCCTTTAATTTTATTTGAAAATATGAACGGAAATAAATTACATCAATGAAAAACAAACAAAAATAAAAAACAATACAGCATGAAGCATCTCTTTTACAAGCAAATCTTAAACAGTAATGTTTGGCATAGACTGTATTCAATACATTATAGCTCAAAAGTGCCTAAAATAGCCACTGGTATCATTCTCGAGATTGTTTCTTAGTGCTTCTGGGATGAAAAATTCTTACAACACATTTCACCATATGGGATAGGGCCATCAATATTATCAGACAACAGAGGTGGCATTTTCTTGTAATACTAGTTGGGCTGTAGTAGTGATTCTGAAAGTTAATTGGTATGTTAGTGGAAATGGACAAGGAAAATTATGCTTAAAAATATTTGTGGTATAAAATGTTTTCATCATTAGGTTATGAATTTGTTGTTGTACCAAATTGTATTAGTAGAGGCAAATAGTGACATGCCATTTGCTAGTCAGTGATAAAGAACCAATAACCTTTAGTACTTGTTATGAGAGGGAAATGGATTCTAAAATTGTATTCATAGACCAGCCTATCTCAGAGACTGTTCTTGCCAATAAGATGCTCTTTTAGCATAATAAAAAAAGTCATTTGACCATTTTTTCACCTATAATCTGATTTTGCACTGTTCATTTAAAAGTATGAATTTTTTTTATGTGGTATAACAATGTATACAGAAACACAGAAATATATCCAGATTTATGCATACATAGTTGTTATTTGTTACTAAAGTTGGTCGGTTTGGCAATTCCTGCTTTGGTATCGGTTACCGTTTTTTCCCCCACCTTGATACCGAGGTTTTCAATTCAGCTTTTCAGTTTTTAATTTAGTATTTTCACTTTCAAAGAAAGCCATTCATTTTCTTGTAATGATAGCATTTCCAGTCAATATCTAATTTTGTTTGACATTTGATAAATTTGAAACTCGCAAACTCTCATGTATTTCTGGTCTAGTCTTAAAAATATTCATACGACTGGAAAGAAAATAAAATAATCTTTCTAAATATGTAATTAAATTAGATTAATTAGATTAAATTTTACACATTACTTTGTTTTGCAAAATCAATGCGACCAATCTTTATCAATATTCTTGAAATTGTACACTCAATTTTCTAATTCAGAAGACAACTTAAGCTACAACCAGGAAGATGTTTATTTCTTCTCTGACCCATGAAAGCAAATTCCTTCAAAAATTATAAAGTAAGCAGCAAAAAAAGATTAAATGACAGTATATGTGGCAAAAGAACTTTCAAATTATTGAAACTACTGTCTTGTCGTGAAAATAAATGCCCCCATATACTTTTCAACTTTTGAGTGTTGTTTTTGTTTTTTTTTTTGTTTTTTTTTTTTGAAACGTCTGTCATTGTGGAAGTCTTTTAACTGGTGCATAAGGGGTCAATACTTGGTTTTAAAGGGCAATAAAAATTTATAGACATGCATTAGACGACTGGAATTGAAAACCTGAAAACCACGAATCAGAGTGGGTAATAAAGTAGGAATTGTTCACCTAAAGTCAGTTTTTAGGCTTTAAAGGTAATGTAGTCATAGAATTCATGACTTGGATTAAAGTTTATTAAACTTTCAAATAAATTGTCAACTATAAATAACTACCATATTTATTAACAAATTGGTAAAATACGAAAGAAATTGTCGCATAAAATAACTTTATTTGTATCTTTGGACAACACAATTTTGAGAGAGAAAATAAAATGGTATAGCTCTCCAGAAATTAGTTTATGATGTGGCTTTTAAAAACCAAAAAATGAAATCCCTCATGTTTAAAATTATTAAAAATACAGCAATTCTTTTCTGGTATACCAGTCAACTGTTATTGGGGTTTTACAAATAAATTTCTTCTAAACAAGGAAAATCAATGAGTTATTTTTTCCCCTAAATAAATGTTTTTACCTAGCGAATACTACACCTAAAATTAAATATTATAAATAATTAAAAGCTTTTAATTTAATTTTTATAATGTGTATATTTCCAAATCTGTGAGTAGCACCTGTCTGTTACATATTTTAAAACTGAAATTAAAGACTATTTTATAATCATTTTAATCTTAGGTGTATTCGCTAGATAAAACCATAAAGATAATTGTAAAAATAAAATAAATTAATTTTTCTTATTTAGAAGAATTTTATAGGCAAGAACACACACTGAACATTAGTGGCTGAAAAAGAATAATATTATTTTGGGTTTAAAACAAAATGACTTGTAGTTTTGAAAATATACACATTAACTGAGATCATTTTTTTAATATCTAATTTTAGGTGTATTTGCTAGATAGAATCATAATTCTATTTGTAGAAAACAAACAAATTTACATTAGATTTGCATATCTGGAAATATACACATAATTTTCACTTTTAAAAAGTGAAATTCAGAACTATTTTAATTATTCTTAATATTTAATTTAGGTGCATTCCCTAGATAAAAAACAAATTTATTTATTAAAAAAGATCTTCATTCATTTTTCTTGTTTACAACAACTTATTTTGTGATTGGCGTACACTGGCTTACTAGAAAATAATTACAAAAAAACTGACTTCATAACATTAAGACGAAACTAGCAACTATTTTTTTTTATTTTTTATTCGCTGTTTTGTTAACTTAATTTTTTTTTAAACTGAAACAAATAGATTTTCATTTTTAGACATCATGTTGTATTTCCTTTTTTTTTGTTTGAAAACATGATTTCCAAGTGTCATATCTGTTGTATTCCCTTTTTTTTCTTCATTTCTTTTGTAAACAAATAGATTTCATATTTATTTCCTAAAACTAGTCAATTAAATGTTTTTTAACATATTTTTGTTCAATCTTTTTTTCTTACAATGGTATAAATCTTGATAAAATTTAATTTTATTAACATCTGAAATACTTTTTCAATAGTGTTTCTTTGGATATGGTCACTCAGTATTGATATAGCACTTAAAAAAACGAATGATTTCAGTTTTGTAAAAAATTTCAATGCAGTTTCACAGTGTAAAGATGAAACTGAAAAAATTTGTTTTTTCAGGTAAACCACACATTTCTATTTGTTACATTACATTGTTTTATCTTTAGCATGATTGCCACAGAGCAGTGGCCCTGGAAAGTGGTTAGAGATTTTATAAGTCTAACAAAGTAGTAAAGATATTAGAAGGAGAAAAATATGAGAGAGTGGTTAATCAGATTGGACTCTGATGGGAAAAATTCCATTTTAAAAATATTAATTTAAACCCATAAATTACTTATAAGGAGAGCTTTGAAATGGTTTGAACTCAAATTAAACTAAAATTCAGTATAACTGACATCCCCAGCCAGACTCCATAATGCTGAGAAAGTTGGCATAACATTATATGACTTATGTGTTTGCCAAAATACACAGGTTTTCAGTTACTCTAGGATTTGTTTATTTAGAGACCTATTCATCATATTTGTGTTAATTTCAATGTAATTTTGGAATCTTAGAAATCCAGAGCAAAATTGAAAAGCACTTCATGTTTGGTTATCATGTTTTTCTAACAAGTGGTTCTTTGTTCGAGAAGCTAATTAATCATGCCCATTTCAGGTCCAGAAGTGAAATATGCATGTGCAGAAATCAGAAAGAGGCCAGTTTCCCAGAATTGTTGAAGCATGCACCTTGCAGACAAGAGACTAGCAGAGAGCCCACTCAAGTCCTTCATCCACCATAAAAGTCAGTTACTGTAAAGATGTTAGTACTCATGCACATCTTAGAATCAGATGTTTCTCAGTGCCTCAAGTTTAGTAAGGAGGAAATTGAAACAAATTAATTGTTGTATGATTTCTCACATTTCATCCATAATTAAATCTTTGATAATATTTTAACAGTGTCATTTACATATTACACATTTTTGGGGCAGGATCATCTGGCATTGAAGGAGTAGTACAACTGAATTTTTACCCAGTCCAACAAAAATCTACATCTTGTGAATTCCTCACGAGTAGACACCACAAACTGAATCCATTAGACAACATGTCCCGGTGAAAGAAAGAATCCTCTATCACCAAAGAATACCATACAAGGGGTAGGCTATACAACACCTGGATGAGAGTGTTGCTTTTGATAACCAGCTTCAGCACAGGTTAGGTCTGGTGACCACATGGCCAGGGGTTGGGTTATATGATGAGAAGTTCAAAAGAATTAAGAAACCTTGCTAAATATATGGAATAATATTTGGAAGTTAACCTCATTTTCATAATATTTGGGAATTAATTCTCTAGCCAAAAACACAATTTGGCCCATGTTTGTGAATTTTTTAAGATAACTTTTACAGGTGGCCAGAGTGTCCAAATATTACTCAGGTTTAATGAGTTTTTCCATAATTATTGCGGAGTTTAAATCCAACAATTTAATGCTAGCCTCACATATTGAATAAAATTAATTTGTTGTATTGATTTTTTAAATTCTTTTTTTCTTTCTCCAGACTCACTAAATAAAAAAAAGTTTTCTTCAAAATAAATAAACAAACAAACACACACACACAAAAAAAATAATAAATAAATAAATAATAGTCTACTTCATGTGCTCTTGATAGTTCACACTGCCAAAATTTTGGGGGGATAAGCCACTCTCTCATTCTATTATATAGCTAGGAATTTATTTCTTGGCTTTCACATACAACTTTTGCAAAGTACATACCACATAATCTCAGAAAATAATTGCTGCTATACTGAAGATTGTAATGCTGAGTCTGACTTTGAACTCTTTTTTTATCCTCTTCTACAGCACTCAGTGAATCTGAGTATTCAATCAACTCTAGCATTTATGTAAAATGACCTTTCAAATGACAAGTGACAAGGCCAATAGGATGCATTACACTATTACTCCAACTTTTCATTGACCAAGTCATTGATATTACACCTCTGGCCAGTGATGTAATCAAATTTTATTTTTGATGGCCTTTGTTGGATAATATTGCTCAAATGGCATCAACATTTTGTCTTTAGATAGGACATTGATATGAAGGAATTTAAAGATTTACATTAAGCATGTTTCAAGAATTGACCAATGATTTATTTCATGAAAAAATTGTTTTTGACTATTATTTTAAGAAAATCAGAAATTATAATGTTTATTTAAAATATTTTGAACCAAGCTTAACTTAGCTTAGCTTCTGCGCTGAAAAGATGTAATTTGAAAATAAAACAAAGCAAGTCATAAACTTTTGCCTCACTTGACAGGTGATGAATGACATTGATGGATTCCGTGAGGATAATTTGTTCTATGGAAGGAGAAAAGTGAAATTATTTACATTTAAGCGAACAAATTATTTACCTCGTTATTTTTAAGGAAAACTTTCAGCGCTCTAATTTTTTTTTGTACTTACATTTATGATGCTTTATGGAAAATATATTATAAAGAAATTAAAATAAAACTGTTAAGAGTGAGATTAAATTTCATAAGAAAGGTACCTAATTAATTTATAGGTACCTTTCTTATGAAATTTTATTAGAAGTGTACATAAAATACTATAATTTTATATACATTTATTATATTTTACTGTGTTATTTGTATTTCCATTCATTTTATTATTAATTTTGATAATTCATTTATGGAAAAATGTCATAACTGAGATTAACATAAAAATAAGATCATATAAGATGATACTGATACTTGTAGGTACCCTTGTCAGTTGAAATTGAAAAATCAAGTTAACTTCTCCACACGTGTTTTTCAAAAGTAAAAGGCCTTAACAGCAGAGAACAATGCTTAACTCAAATAATGCAACTTAATTGTATTCTGGTTGGTCTTCCGTACTTTATAATTACAGCCCGATTATAAATACAAAATTAGATTTCTTAATTACTGCGGATCTTCTGATTAGTCAAAATGATACAATTTACAATGCGAAAATACAAAAAGATCTATCTCATAAGGACACTTAGGAAACCAGATGCGGCTTTTAACTAATTTATAATATTTTAATAACTTAAATGTAAAAATCTATTATAATTAAAGAAATTACAAATAATTATATTAAAAATTCATTTTTCATCAAAAGTTTTTTTTGCTTTCAGAAAATATTGTCCATATTCATAAAAACAACTAAAAGCAAATAAAAGCATTTGAAATTAAATAATATATTTGTTTCATTGAGTTTTGTATGTTACAATTCAGAGCTGATTTTCCGGTAGAGGGGATCCAATTAAAAACATTTCATTAACATCTGACAATTATTTTTATTTTTGCAAGATTTTCCAAATTAATGTGTGTCATACAAAAAAATGTGCTAAAAATTACATATGTTATTTTACTAGTTCTGGTGATACAAAGAGAAACAATGTTTTTTTTAACCAAAATTTAGAATGTTCTAAAAAGGAAAAATTTTTTAAAGTAATTAAAATAAACTTTGATCTTTCCTCTTAATAATAACATAAGCATTTAGATGATAAAATTTTGTTTTCGTCAAGTTTGGCATCTTTTTAATCATGCTATGCTCTTTTTTTAGTGATTTCGTGGAGGTACCTAATTCATAATGAGCTTTTAATTGTTTGAAGCCTGCATCTTTAGTTATGCAATTAGCTGCTTAGTTGAAATTGGTTACTTACCCCAAAACATACAAGACAGAAAACTAACAAATTTTGAATAGTCATAACCTTGTTGCTAACTGAGCTAGCAGGATAAATTTGGGACCATAAATTCTAGCAAACACTGTAGTACAACATTGATTAATTACTTGACTTGAAATCTGTTTACTATCAAGTCCTAATATTTGACAAAGACAAACCTTACATTGCTTTTGAAGCATCATTTTACGCAATCATAGTACAACCTAATTGTTGAATAAGCAGAAGTCCTTGAGGCAAATTCTAGTCATGACTATATTTGTCTTTTTAATGGTAAAAAGATAACAGTGTCAGATTTAACCCCAGCAGATCAATTATAAAATAGTTTGATATTCAGGACCCAGTTTTAACTCCTCATCGGATAATAATATCAATCATGATTAGGATTCCAACCAGTGCTGAATGAAACTGAATCTATTGCCCACCAACCCTGGGGGAGTTATTAATTCCTTGCACATAGAATACTGAATCTCCCAATAACTAGACTCCATTATGACAATTTCAGCATGCCTGAACTTATGACTTTAATGATATAGTGTTGTACTTTACAGATACTAAACTGAGGTTTGGTGTGTTTGATAATTTTATTTAGCAGGAGGGAAAATGGTAAATTTATTTGTTATGCACTAGTCAATACCTCTTGTAATGACACTTTACAGTTATTCAATGTCTAATTACTTGCATTATGGCTGACAAGATTGTGTATATACTTTATTTCCTTATGTATAGATTAATTTTTTTTTCTTACTGAAAAGGTATATAAGTTGATGTGTAACAGGGAAAAGGTGATCTTGCACTTGTTGAAGCATGTAAACTCCCTCCCAAAGAGACTTGAGACAGCCAGTGAATTAAGTGATGTTAAAATCTTAATTTGAGATGCGAGACCAAAAGAAAACCAAAGGAAAAATTGTTGATTAAATCTAAATGAGGAGGTATTGAGTAAATTGCTAATAAAAACTAATTAATAATGCTAATTACAACAAATGAAATCAGCTGAGAATAGACTGAAGGATATGGCATGCTTTGAATCAATGGATAACTTAATGAAACATTAAACTGTTCACAACTAAATAAGTACTATTTTTCCCCAAATCCTTACTGTCGGGCTGTCAACAAATAGGTATCAGCTTTTCAAAGAACATGTACAGATCCAGCACACTTCATGAACAATTTTCAGTTAATACATCATCTATTTGACAGCCAGGCAATTTCGATAAAAACATGTGCACAGCCATTTGCATTAGTTTGAGTTCAGCGCATACTGTGGTCAGTAAAAAATATTTTGATTGGAGTTAAGCAACTTTATTGTTTAATAAATCATAACACAATTTGGAGTGATTTTGATCAAATCCAATGGCAGAAAGAATACCTCCACTTTCAGTGACCTAGGCAATGGTCAGTTATCAATATTTTGGCTACCACTTTTCATTAAGTATGACCAAATATTTGGTGGTAGCTGTGATATATAGGATCCAATTGTTTGAATTCAATTACATTCTTTTATTGAATAAATTGACTTTGAACAATCGGACTCTGGATAATTCTGAAGTTTTAAATAAACGCTAATTCAAATCCTGCCACTAAAGCATACAAACATTAATATGCAACATTAAATAATTTGTAGTTGTTCCTTGCATGAACATTTTATATTAAGTTTATCATAAAGCAGTTATATACTTTATGAAACTTGGATGTGAAACTTAAGAAATAAAGGTTGCATAAAAGTTGTAAAAAACAAAAGCAACATTGAAACTTTGCAAAGTGACTGCAAAAACATTCTTGACATTATTGCAAAAATATCTAGAAGTGATCAGTTACATGATTTTGTACTAAATGAACAGTACAGATTAAATAACAATAAATCTATTACTGTTACACTGAATTTATATATAAATATATATATATGCTTTATATTGGTAGCAGTGGTTTATGATTTATCACTAAAGTAAAGCAAAGTGATGCTTGTACAACATTCAATGAGAAAATCATTTACAAATACAATTTTTTTTTAATGCAAAGTGATTTATCTAAGTATTAACTTTACTACAACCATTACATCTAGTTTCTAGAGTTAAGAATCTTGTATAACCCCTCCATCAAAAAATTTGCTTAATAAAAATATGAACCACCAGAAAAAAAAGTATAAAATTAGTAACTGTTTAAAAAATACAAAAATAATATATGTGATAATGTTAATTAAATAAAAATGTTTTCTATAAAGACAGATGAGAAAAAAATTAAAGAATGGTTTACTTACGCAACACTCCTAGACATTTCTGTCGTTCGTTTTGGAGCTTTGCCAGGAGCTTTTATAACTGTTGTTGACTGCCCAGGTTCAACTTTGACTTGAACTAAATTTTTATCTAATTCCTGCAAATAAATTATTTTTCATTTAGTCAATGAAAGTTCTTTCATACCAGCTATTAAACATTTAATGAAATTGAAGTTTTATTACTGCACTGGATTACGCAAAACCCGTGATTATAAAAATTGTTAATAAGCAGTACATTGAAAAGACTAAAAAAATTATATACTACATTACTTTTAACAATTTTAATAAAGATTTTAAAAAAGCAGATCACTATTCTATATCTATAGTCTAATCATTAAAATGCAAAGTAACTGACAATATTTTATGTTAAATTTGTAAATATTAACACATCTTATAACAATATCAGTTTCTTATTAACCAAATTAACATATGAGGTGTTTCCAAATAATTTCAAGTCAAATCTCAGATTTCATATTAAGTTTATGAAAGTCAAACATTCCAAGCAAAACAAAAACAGAATGGTAATTTGAATAAAAATGAGATACTGAACAGAACTTTCTGAAAAATATCACCAACATTATTAGTTAAAAAACTTGAGACATTTTCCCAAATTATGGATCCTTTACCTGGTCCTAAATGATGAAGTATTATCAATAGGTTTCTACACCCATAGGCATTTGATGCAAATGCGTAAAATCTACTACATAAAATTTAAGTGTGCATGCCAGCATGTATATTAAGCCATTTATTATTATTATTATTGATCTGACTTATTCATTATAGTTATTGATTTTTTTAAATTTAAAAAAAATTAAGTGAAAGTGTCCTTTTCTTTATAAAAAATAGTTAGCAAAAGATTAAGGAAAGTGAAAACTAATGTGTCTATAATGCTTTGTGCAATTTTATGTCAAAAAGAGTCAGATATTTTTCTTGAGGTCTTTAACAGGTTTCAGGACTTCATAAAAACTCTTTATTTTGTCAAGTAAATAAAAGAAAGAGAGTACACTACCTGAACAGGAAGGGGAAGCTTGCTATCTATGGACATTTGACCTTTACAAGTATGTCCACTTCTTTGCATTTGACCTTTGGGAAGGACAACAGTATTTCCAGTGGACGCAGCCGCTGCTGCAACTGTTGCAGTTTGTTGTTGTCGAATTTGTCGTGGTTGCTGCTGTTGTGACTGCTGTGGTTGTTGCTGCTGTTGTTGCTGATGGTGATGATGGTGATGGTGTACTTGAGCCTGAGTTTGGCTTTGCTGTTGGGCCTGCAAGATGTGCGTGTGAGTTTGAGGATCAAATTTCACTATGAACTTGCCCTTGTGCTTAAGGATTTGCTGTTGTTCAGGAGCCAGCTGTGCCAATTGTGCTAAGATCTTCTCCTTGTTTTGAACAGGCACATTGATCAACACCTCTTTATCACCAATCTAAAACAATAAAAACAGGGTGAGTGATATACAAAATAAATACGTGCACATGCCTTTGTGCGTGTGTATGTATAATTTATTTTTTACATTGATGCATGTTCATTTTAAAAAGTTTTGCATCCATTCACATTTCCTGCCTAGTTTACAAAGTAGATTAGTAATTCGTTTTTTTGAAAGTGCTATTTATCAGTTATGCTCATAAAGTCACAAATTCATTATTCCATTATGTATAGTTAGGACAGCAAAATGAATGCTTTAATGTTTTGGAAAACCTAAATCTGTTTGAAATAAGAATTAAATTAACAGTTAAAATTTTTCTTAGTTTTGAAGCTCAGTCATAAAAATACTGCAAATGAATTTTATCAAGATAAAATTATTTTAATAAAAAGACAGAAAGAGATTTTTATCATTTCTAGAATAGAAAAACAATAAATGGTCAACTCCAGCTATCTACATGTGATATAGATACCAGAACATGTAGCATTCTGTTAAGAATATTAAATACTGAATAGGTAAAAAATATTGATGAGTGTTTACTTTTAACTACATGCAAAAAGATTGCTTTTGAATGATAACAACAGTGACAACAAAAATTTGCATTAGAAAAAAAAGAGAAAGTGTTTTTTATGTTAACATTAGAAAATATGCAATTTTTTGGCATATTATGCTTTTTTATTTTAAGGTAAAATGCAACTAAAATGTAAAAAACAAGTGCAGTTTACAGAAAAAGTACAGTGAATGACAGAACATATTAACAGCCAAGTTAAATGCTAAAGATTTCTTGCTGAATGATGCTCTATAATCAGGTAGACCAGTTGAGGTTGGTAATGAACAAATCTAGACAGTACTTGAGAAGAAGCTTTGTTATATATGGAAGATAAACAACATACTCAAAATGGACAAAGCAAGTATTGGAAATCATTCACACCATCTTAATTATGAGTCACTTTGATGTGAGGCTTCCATATGTATTAAGGAAAAAAACTGAATTGTAATTCCATGTGTAATTTGTTAAACTGAGCACCAAAAATGTTTTTTTTTTAACAATTTGTGTTAAAATTGTGAAAAGTAGATATTTTACAACATGGAATTACTATTAGCTTCTGAAGAATCCAATGATTGATTTGAACAAGTACTGCTTCTAATAAGATTAGCTGAAGACAGCAAGTAACAAAAAGGGTCTAGAATACTTAAGAGAAACTGTGTAATATATATATATATATAAAAATGGCAATTTCTGTTTGTTTGAAACCAGATGCCACCTAAACCCAATTTTGATGAAACTTTGCATCCCCGTTAAACTAACATTCAGTTTGTTACTAGGCTAATTGTTTTTGTTTTTTTTATAAAAATCTATGAGACTGCTAGGGAGCCTAGATCGCAGCTCTCCATCAGGTCTTACATGAAACACTGTTTAAACTAGGGAGATAATTTGTTCCGCAAACTTTTTAGAAATTAAGATACATGTGTTACGAAATAATAACTCTTATAAAGCTTATGGATCTTTGGTCAATTTGAAAGATCATGGGGACAACATATAAACAAATTGCAGGTTATTTTTTTAAATAAAATCTTTATTTAACACATTAATTCAGCATAATATTCTTTTAAATATGATCTCTATTTGAATATTCCAAAAAATTAATGTTTCAAATTCGCCATGTGCAAACTTATTAAATACAAAGAAATTGGCTCAATCCATTCGGTCATTTAAATGCAAAATAAAATTTCAATTGAACTTATTTGCAAATAGAAACTTTACCTAGGCTCATATTTCAACCTACTCTTAAAATGTATGTTGTGGTGGTGGTTGTTGTTGTTTGCAGAATAACAACCTGTTTGAAGAACATTTTCAAGTTGTATACTGTCTGTATAAAAAAAAATCTAGCTGTAGAAATAGACATCCTTCTTTAAAAATCCAAATGTTCTTAATCAGCATAAGTCACGTACCCTTCCTTGTTAAGTTTTACTCTTAATTACAGTGGTTTAATTAGACAATATCAAATCATGAGGAAAAGTTAAACTGAAATCAAAAATTTAATAAGGGATTGTTTTTAAACCTTTCCCTCCATTCATTATTGAAATTATATATATATATATATATATATATATATATAATATCTGACAGACATCTGGGCAGATATATTTTCTCTAATGAAGCAATGTGGCACTTCCTGGGCTGCAAAATCCACGAGCAGCATCCAATAGTGGTGAATTTAGCTGTTTATCTTGAAAATGGTCAGCATGTATATTTCACAGAAAATACTGCTCAAAATGTAGTTGAGAATATACCAGTAACCACTTTGACAATTTCTTCAGATGATACAAAGTGACCTGCTTGCCTGCATACTGCAGTACGTTGCAGTTCCTGTCTACTACACCAAGGCACACAATAGATGGAGAAAACACAAGCAAGGAGCACAAGTTGAGGGTTGGGAAGAAAATCCTGTCTTTAGAAGTGGGACCATTGGGCAGGTGTACATTATGCACCCCATTCAGAAGGAGTTCTTCGTTCTGCTGCTGCACACTGCCAGAGGTTCTACATCATTCACAGACCTGTGAAGATATAATGGAGAAGTCTGTACAACCTACAGAGAAGCCTGCGCCAAACATGGACTACTGGAGAACAATGCCCACTGGGACCAGACACTGGAGGAGGCAGCAGTCAACAGAGAACCAAGTCAAATGTGCCAGCTATTTCCTATCTTGTTGCTTTGGCTGACCCACAAAACCAGCATGGCAGAGGACATCCTACAAAGAATTCAAAGGCAAACCACAGTGGAAATTGCCACATTCAATAATGCCATCTACTATGAGGCATTAGTTGATCTGGACAAGAGTACAAGCTTGGGGAGGTCAGGGAATTGCCACATTTGGCCTACCTCAACCTGAACAGGCAGCAAACTATCTCACAATTGAGTACATGTGGGAGATCAGCTATGACACCAAGGAAATGACAGTGCATATAACTGATAACGAACACAAACTAATGGAGGTTCAACTGGGTGTTTATAACACGATTATTTTGAGCATTGAAGGTGAAAGAGGAGATCTATTCTTCCTCGTTGCCATAGGTGAAACCGGCAAGACATTTATCATCAACCTATTTCTGGCTAAACTGCACTAAATGAAACATATTGCTCTAGCAGTAGCATGAAGTGGAATAGATGCAACCTTGCTAAGTGGTAGCCACACAACTCATTTGTGCTTCAAACTCCCTTTGGACCTGTTCAAAAAAGAGAAGGTAACCTGCAACATCAATTGTGGTTCTATAAAAGGCAAACTCCTCAGTGATTGCAAATTGATCATCTGGCATGAAGTGACAATGAGCCATAAGGGTTCCATCAAGGCTCTTGACACGGCAATTCCGGATCTTATACACAACACACAGCTGCTGGGAGATGCCACAGTCTAGCTTGTGGGAGACTTTAAACTTTTCCAGTGGTTACGAAAGAAACAAGACCTGACAGGGTAAATGCCAGTATAAAGTGTTCCTACCTGTGGAGCAGTGTAAAAAAGCTGAGAGTCACAACCAACATGAGAGTGCAGCTCAGTGGTGATGAAGAAGCTGGTACTTTTTCAAAGCAACTATTGGATGCTGGTAATGGCATTTTGGTTGGTAGGTCAGTTTGCCTTTTGGTATCTGATTTAAAGGAACTAATGACTAGAGTGTTTCCTAACCTCAGGAATCAGTTTACAGACCACAACTATCTGAGAACCCATACCATTTTAACTCCAAACAATGTGGCAGTTGATGATTTGAACATCAACCTTCTGGAACAGTTGCCAAGTGAGTGTTGCAGATACAATTCCATTGACACTGTACTAAATGCCGATGAAGCTGTGAATTACCCAGTTGAATTTTTGAATAGCCTAACACCAGCAGGCCTCCTGCCTCACAATTTGCACCTCAAGATTGGAGCACCAGAAATGCTGCTAAGAAACATGGATCCAATAAAGATTTGCAATGACACATAACTTATTATTAAGATGATGCCAACAGTCTTCGAGGTGACAATTGGCAAAGCAATTGGTGAGGCTGTATTTATTCCTAAAATTCCACTTATTCCCTTGGATATGCCTTTCCAGTTCAAGCAGCTGCATTTTCCAAAAAAATGAAATAAATCGCAGAAGATAGTGGGACAAAAGATCATGTTAAAAAAGGTTAATGCTGAAAATAACAAAAGAAATTGATTTTTTTTTTTTATTTTTACTTAATACTTTAATACCAAACAAGCTCTTTAGCTACTCAATAGGTTTTGTAATGCATATCTCAAGATATATGTAGAAATTTCACATTAGTTAAATATGAGATTAGTACCTACAAAAAGAACTGGCTCATTAAATGTAAGGCAATCAAAATAACCTGACCTCAAAATTACTAAAGATCGTAGTTTACCGACTGCAATTCACTTTTAGAATACATGTAAAAACTGTAATGTGTTCAAATTTTTTTTTTACAATATTTAAATGATAGTTTATTGCTTTAATCATAAAATCTTTTCAAAATTTGAACAGATTTGCATAATAAAATCAAGAATATAAGTGTAATAATAACCTGTACGAAATATGAAAAAAACTGATGAAATATGTAAACATTTACCTTTACAGGTGTGGGCACAGTAGTAGGTGTTGCTGGTATGGGTAACTTTCCAGTTGCAATAGTATGCATATTTGAAGCTGGTACAAAAGATCCAGTAGCTGAAGCTGAGGTACTGGGGACAACTGGTATTAGAGTCGTTGTGCCAGAAATCATTCCAACAACATGTTGTTTGTTAGTAGTCAATACTTGTATACTGCCCCCACCTGGAGCTGATTGGACAATGGTGGTAGGCTGAGTGGTTAACATTGGTACAGTTTGTGATGGTGTAACCTGACCACTTGCTGACTGATTAGCAAGTGAATTGGAGATCACATTGGCCACTGTTTTGCTGACCTGTGCAAAAGGAATCTGGCCAACTACAGTAGCCTGCTGTGGCTGATACTGGTTTAGTTTGGAGGCATTGCCTGCTGTTGGCACTGATGAAGCTGCTGATGCTTGCTGTATCACAGCCTGCTGTGTGAGAGCTGCCTGAGCAACAGGAGTTTGGGCTATCTGTGATTGACCCACTTGACCACTGGTCACAAATTGCTGCTGTCCTTGTGACAACAGTTTCTTTTGGATCATTGCTAACTGATCCAATTGGGCTTTCTGTGTTCGGTTTGGGTTCTTTATAGAGACTAATGCTGTTATATCATTCTGTGCTCGGGCTAAGAAGCTAGGATCATGGGTAATTTGTATTGTCTGCATATGCGAGTTAAGGACAGCTGCTTGAGCTTGATTGGCTACAACTTGTGAGCCTGAAGTTTGGACAACCCCACTGCTGCTAATGGGTTTAGGTTGAACAGTACTGGATGACACCTGGACACCAACTAGACTGTTGGCAACACTGACCTGTGAAGGCAACTGTACAAGAGACTGGGAGACAGTCGTGGTCACAGTAGTGGAGTGAGCAGTGCTGAGGCCTGGACTGCTGCTTACACGATGCAGAGGTAGAGGTAACTGGATATTATGAATTGTTTGAACTTGCTGCTGCTGCTGCTGCTGTTGCTGTTGTTGTTGTTGTTGCTGATGATGTTGATGTTGCTGCTGATGCTGTTGATGTTGATGTTGGTGTTGTAATGGAGATGCACGATTTCGAGAATTCTGCTTTGATGAGCTTTTAGCAGACTTGCTTGGTGGGGTTTTTGTTCGGCTGGTACTACGCTGATTGCCAGTGGTTGTTGTGCTACTTGTGCTGCTGACATTCTGGATGACTTGCATAGTTGTAAGAGGAGTTTGTGATGCTAAAGAAGAAATATCCTGTCCAGCAATAGTAGTTTTTACTGTGGTTGTCTGAATGGGCACAGTATGTGTTTGTGGGGTCTGTAATAAAACTTGCCGACCTCCTTGGAACTGCAGTGGTCCTGATGTGAGACCTTGCAAGTTAAAATTCTGTCCACCAATGTTTACAGTAACAGTACCAGGCTGTGATCCAGCCATCTGCAGTCCGGGATGACTAATCACCTTCAGTTGTTGACCCTGAAGAGTATTGACCACTTGCTGCACTGGAATGCTTCCTTGGGATGTGGAGGAGTTGATCAGCTGGGACTGCGAGATCTGAGGATATGACTGCACCTGTGAAGTGACTGTTGATGACTGCCCACCATTGGTAGTTGATTGAATTTGTATCAAATTTGGTGGTATTGCCCGAAAGATAATAGATGGAGTGTTGAGGTTAACAAAGCTATAATTAGGTTGTGCAGTTGCTGCTGCCGTAAGAGTAGCTTGCGACTTATCTTGTGTTTGCTGGCCAGACAGCTGCATGGTGCCACCAGCTCCAACAGCCATCCCTGCAGCATTGCCCATTGCCATACCTGGGGCCCCACCCACTGTAGGCTGGGCAGCATGAAGTAGGGTGCCAGTGCTGGACACCTGCTGCCCAACATGGGACGGGGGCAGCTGCAGGTTCTGAACCTGCTGGAGATTTTGGAGTCCAGCAACATTAGGGATGATAATGCTTTTCCCCTGTGGAGTATTTATGATGGTACCTTGCAGTGTGACAGGGTTTGACGAAGAGGCAGCTTGTACATTGGGATACACACTCACCATGCCTCCCTGCTGGTTTGCTTGTTGCGCCGAGTTATTGCACAGAACATGGGCGACATTCACATTGACCACGTTAGGGTTCTGAATCACTGTATTTTGGGTGTGCACAATATTCTGTCCCTGAGTTGGGAGAACGGCTTGCCCAGGAAGTAAGTTCTGGATATGTGGCTGGTTTGGAGTTTGGACTAGATTTTGGATTGGGACACCTCCAGCGGCGGCAGCAGCAGCAGCTGCCTGCAATTGTTGCTGCGTAGAAGGCTGTGATTGCACTGATGTAGGAATCTGTACCACACCAACATTGGGGGATGGACTGACACTATTGGGATGCTGTCCACTGAATGATGGGCTAATAGTGACCAATCCAGGAGTCAGGGATCTACTGACTAGTGGAGAGTTTATGGGGGCAGGGCTTTGACTAGGTGTAAGGGAGCTGCTAACACCTGGTGAAGAAGCAGAGACTTGAAGATGCTGAATTTGATTGACTTTTGAAGTTTGTTGTTGTTGAGTTTGCTGCTGCTGCTGTTGCTGATGATGGTGATGATGATGGTGATGATGATGTTGCTGTTGTTGTTGCTGCTGCTGCTGTTGTTGTTGTTGCTGCTGTTGCTGTTGTAGCTGTAACTGTTGCTGCTGAAGCTGTAGCTGCTGTTGTTGCTGGAGTTGTTGAAGTTGTTGCTGCTGCTGAAGTTGCTGCTGTTGAGCAAAACCAATGGAAGTCCCAGGAGCTGTTTTCAATATCAGCTGCTGACCTTGGATAACTTGGATTGGAATTCTGCAGCAATACAATAGAAAAATAGAGAATAACTTTTAATGCAATAATATCAAAATCTGATAATTGTGTAGCAAAATTTAAATGACTAAAGTAGGTGTAAAAATATTCACAAAATGTATTATCATTATTAAAGTCTTGCAAAATAAAGTTATAAAATCATGAAAATGTTTGGAAGAGATTTATTTCTGCAAATTAACTTATATTGTTTAATTAAAGTTAAAATTTTGATGATGTTGGGTGGGATAGTCAAATATTATGAGATGGAAACAAGGTATCTTCAGATTTTAATAGAATGAAAAATAAATTTTTAATCAGTAAATAATCTATTAACATATTGGCTACAATAAATATCTTTATATTACTATTTTCTATAATGATGCCATTGAATAGCTACAGATTTGAGGATTGGTAGAAAGAAACATGAAAATAATTTTAATAAATTAAAAGAAATTTAGTTTTCATAATTAGTGGATAACAAAGTGAATAGCCAATCTGTTAATATTATCAATATCCTTGAATGCCTGTGAAAAAATACATGATGACAAAAATTGAAAGGCATTAATTGTTGGTGACAAATGGTGGGAAAGAAAGTCAAGCAAATAAAAGCGTTATAGTTTATAAGAGAAATGAATTGTCATTTTCAGGTTGTACAGGGTCATTCAGAGAACAAAATTTAGGAGTCAAACAACAATTAATACTTATTAGAAACAAAATCAAAATCACTTACATGAAACTATTCTTATCATTTATGGTAATTCAGTTTGTACTTATTTCTGATATTTCTATATTAATGGAGGCTTGTGTTTGTGTCCATAAAATGATCACACTTAAACAAGGATCATTTTTGGTGTTTGGGGTGGGCATAACGACTAACAAGACATCTAGATATTAAATAGACAAGTGGACTTCAAAAGGTCATTTGAGAACAGCAGAGGTCAGGAAAAAGCACAGTATATTATTTCTAGTTCAATGAAGCAATTTCTAGCAAAATGCGGTGAAATATTAAGTTTATTATGAAGTACAAATATATTCCCTTAGGAAAATGTACATTTGTACAGATACATTCTTCATGTTCTTAATATAAACAATGGCAGTAACATAAACATTTTCTTGTCTATACATAAATACAGTCAACTAGTTTGACAATACAGTGAATCAGCTTTGGATTTCAAAGTGATTTGATGTTGTAACCATAAAAATCTTTCAAAAGTAAAGATTGTAAAAGTAGTGATGTAAAGGATTGTGTTATCAAAACATTCACAAATTTCAAAATATCTATTTAGTTTTAAGAACAAAATACATTTAATGTCATCTTAGGAGTAAACATCATTTTTTAAATCAAAATTCACCATAAAACATTTTTATAGAACATGTTATAAAAGTGTTAAAAAATGAATTTTATTGTTATAAAATCAACATGATATCAAAAAGAATTATGCAACAATACAAATATGTTCAAAGTAAGAGCATTATCATTTGAATATAGCTTTTTAATTATAATTTCATTATTTTCTGCTTTTCCCTTATCTTTCCTGTTTCACTTCAAAAACACACACACACACAAGTGTATGTGTGAAGAGTAATAATGAAGATTTTTTAACTTAAATTAGCAAAAATGTTAATCATTACTCTTATTGAGGTTGCATAACTGAAAATGGTTGCATCAAATTCTATTTTAAAGCTTAAAAAGTAAATATTTAGCATCATTGTAGATGGAATTAACTCATAAAAAATGCTATCAATTAACAGTGACAGCAAAACAGCAAAGTATTCAAATCAACTAAAAACCTCAGCTGTTTTCAATTTTCTTGTATGATATAGCTGAAATATCTAAATATATAAATGAATTATCTCCCTTACATAATTGGCTACTGCTGCACGCTATTTAAAATTATTTTAATAAAAGCAGTGTTATTTGAATTCCAATCCATATTTTAATTAGTATTGAAATCTAGTTAAAAAAAAAAATAACATTTTACATGCACTTAAACAATAAAAACTGATTAATGGCACCTCACACTTTCAAAGAGCATATGAGATATCTAACAGAAATTATATTTTACACTAAATATATTTTTATTACACAAAATCTGACTTATTGATCTCACAGATATGCTATATTGAAGTGTTTCTAGGTAACATTTAAAATGAAAAATAATTGAGTCAGTAGTCAAACAATTTTATAAGAAAAGAAAATGGGAGAGATAAGAAGTGTATCATAAATAGATGAGTGATAACATCATCAATTTCTTAGTATGAACCATGCAACACCAAATGTGGTAAGGTGTAATAATTTAAAGAAATAATGGACATAAAACAGCCAAACATGAAGTACACCACATTCAACAAAACCCATTAAAATGAATTTTAAAAAAAATATTTTGATCAACAAATATTTTAAGAGGAAGAACTAAGTAACCAACCAAACAAAAAGAAAATTATGCTATGCGTTATGTAAATTTAAAATTATTTACAATTTAAGATAATTTTGTTTGAACCATTAAGTCTTGTGATCAATTTTAGAGAATTTTGGAAAAAAAAAAAAAAAAAAACAACAACAATGTGGAAGTTAATGATTGAGTTGAGAAAAAAAATTTGTACAGATTTTCCAAATCAAATGAGTCATAACATTTATTCATATGTCTCTAAGAAATGAGTTGAAAGTAATTTATTGCTACACAAGATAATAAGCTAAGAGGCTAGAGAAAGGAATTTCAAATTATTCATTGAAGCAAGCAAAAGATTTGATTGTCAAATGAAACATTTATTTTTCCTAAAAGCCTGAAGCAATAAAACAAGATCAGCTCTTATTATTGGATGTGTTATTTTATCATAATCCATCCTCAGGGAAATTTTATGTCAGGTTCCCAGAAGAAAAAAAATTACTGCAGATGTTTCATTTGTGACAAGGTTTTAGTTTAAATGAATTCATTTTTAAAATAGATCTAGTTTAGCCAAGATTTTTTTTCAACTTGACAACAAATATTTTTTGATAAGAAAAAAAGTATAGTGAAACAGTAACAGCAAAATATTTGTATGAACAGGCAAATTGAACGTACACATGGCACTAATGCTGATTCAATAACTATTTCAAAAATATTCAATACAAATGTTATACATATACTTGAAAACAAGAACATAAGATTTTATGAGCAAATGTAAACATTTGTTCAGAAGAAGAAGAAGAAGAAGAAGAAATTATGTTGCTCTAGTGTGATTCTCAGTAGAAAAAAATAATGAAATATTGCATTGCAACTTGATAAAGAATCCATTTTAATGAAGCACATAAAGTTAATATTTTATATTTTCATTTTCCAGGTTTTAAAGATTACATATCTACAGTAATAAAATCAGAAAGAAATCATCTAACTGCTAGTTACAGTTTCAGATAACTAAATTGACACATCAAAAAAATTAGAAAATTAAAAATATCAGAAATAATGTTTATATATTAATATTTCTGTCATTTCATTTTTGCATTTCACAATAGTTCAGATCAATCTCTAATAGCAACCTGTAGCTGCACTGTGGATACTCATCTCATGGTAAGGTAGTCAGCAATTTGTTGTGAACTCTCCTATTTGGTATCAGAAGAGCAACATCAATTCTTTGACATTTTTAGATGAGCATGGATGGAGCCTCTTTCATGTAATCAATGTTATATCTCCCATATGATATAGGCAATATAAATTGATGCCATTGTCTCAGAGAATAAAGCTGAAACTTGTCAAGTATTTCTTGTATGCTAGTAAATAGGATAATTTTTTTTTTTTAAATTATGATAATCTCTTGAGAACCTCTATGGGGGAGATTAGAAAAAAAGCATCTCAAGTAACCATGATTCAATGAACTGTACTTAAGAGAAGAAAAATTTTAGTCATACTGATTCCAAACCTGTTCAATCTTAATAAATCCCTCAGTTGCTTTGTTGTAAGATAATCTTAATTCATACGCGTCAAAGGCATTATCAGATCTAATGGGAATAGCTGCTCAATTGTGCTGACCAATCAGGCCTTGGTAATCAACTTTTTCAGATTCAGTTCACTGGTCTTCTACACAGTATGACAATGACTAACAGGAGATAGATATGATGCATACTGAAATTGGTCTATGGTTATGTCATTAAAACCAACATGTTTAAAGTCTGTAGATACAAATATTAAAAACATGTATTTTTTATGCATGTACTAACCCAGAGAAAGTCATAAACATAAATGCAAATAATCCCCTAAAATTGTATCAAGAGATCAGTGTATCTCTAACGCACATATAGCAAGCAAACTCTAGAAGCATCACATAAGCCATACATTCTTTTCTTCATAATTTCTATAGCTTCCAATTAAAAAGATTTAGATAGAAGTTTCAAACTGTCTTGTTCAATTTTATTGCCTTGTAAGTATGCAGCCTTGATATCCACTATAAAAAAAACCATTGATCAAGTCAGGAAAAGAGTAAATTAAACTGCTTCTTTTGAACACATCAATTAATAGTTACGTAAAGTGCTTGTTGCCATCCTCAAATCCACATGCTACCAGTCTAAATCTAGTAACTATATTGTTATTCCTTATCTTTTCAATAATAACCCATAATACAGACATAATATCTGACCTTGATCTCCAACTTCATAACACATATAAATTATCCTTCCAGTTTTTAATTTCACTTTCCTTTGCTGCCATAATTTCACTGAAACATTATAATTATCTCCAAATCATCAGGTACAATTGACCAATCACTAAGTTTAGTGAAATCAATTAATTATACAAATAGTCCATATTTTTATTACAAAAATAAATATTTTTTAGTGCTCTTTATTCTCTTGTCGGATTAAAATTTTAAACATTCTTGCTGGGCCAAATTCCTTCTCATTATAATAGATGCTGATACAAGTTCCAGTATGAGAGGATCACTATTAAAGATGTCTTGAATAGGTAGTTTATCTCAACCCAGATTTGTTAGCAAAAGCATTAAAAGCAGTCTCCTACTACTATTCCTCCTCCTACACACATTTGATAGTGCCTGAGAGAACTCTAAGTGTTATTAATCTAACCAGGCAACATGGGCTCCAGTATTGCATGGTACAATGACAATATTCTCTGGCCCAGGTAACATGCAGTAACTGATGATGTGCTGTTAATAATGGTACCTTGTTGCACAAGTAATCAGCTGGTGTCTACTTGTCTGGAATTTGGATATTCCTAGTATATCCTTGCTACTGTTGTCTGAGAAAAACCTAGTCATTTGCCAACTCAAATAGAATGTCCCATCTTTTTGGCCTCAGTAATCATTCTGTATTAAATTCTGTTCAGATCCTATGGTTGTCACAGCTACACTACCTCTTTACCTAATAAGCCAAATAAAAGTAATCTGATGCCTATTTTTACAAGTGAGGAGAATAAAACCCTCTAGTATGCTGCTGTCTCTATCTTTTCACACTTCAGTTTAATTCTGTTGAATACTTCAATAGCAAAAAATAACAAAAACATAATTTTATTATCCTTACAATTTAATTTACACTAATAATGATGTAATACTGACTACTGATTTGGTGCTCATTGTCTTTCTTGTAAAATCTTCCAAAATATAATTAATTTCCAAATTTGTGTAAAGTTGGGACGTTTTAGATTAATAGAAAATAATCTGAAGGAACTCAGAAATTTAAGAAATAAAAATTTGAATATAAAATCATATGCAAAATGCAAACAAGGTGGATTTGTTCAGTTAAATAAACTGTACACAATAAACAAGGACAGAATTAAATGTTAATGAATTTTTTTTAAAAAAATGTTTAAATTAACTCAACAAAAGAGATGACTGGGAATAATTCAATTACAAACAATAAACATCTCTACATAATGAAATATATGAATAACCATAAATACTAAACATATTAGGAAGTAGAAAAGGATGCATTTTGATAATAATTTATAGTACAAGTAAAACTAAACTATAATAAAAAAATATTATTTCATTAAATAATATAGCGTAACAAAAACATTCACTCCATTTCATGGAATAAAAACGCATCATTTTGAGGCAAATTCTATAAACTGTTTATCTACTAGACGAAGGAAAAAATAAGGGAAACAAAAAAAGATGTAAAAATCAGAATTTGACAGATTAGAAGATTTGAAAAATTATGTTACTGTCAAGTATATTCAAGTATAAAAAGCAAAAGAGCTATTAAATTAATAATATGCCCCCTTCCCACAAAAAAAATATCAATTAGCAATAATAATGAAAATGGTTGCTTCATGATGAAGAAGCTCATTTGAAAGCTGTCATATATTACCTATTTTCCTTTGAAGTCTTGCTTGGTGGCCAATAACATACATCAAACAAACCAGTTATTGTTGACGCTGTAATTTACCATTATAATCTACCATACAAAATAATCAAAGTGTGAATCAAAGTGATCATATTTATTTATACCTTATATGGTCTACATAGCAAGATAAAGAAAAGTAACAATTAACTTGTGCTCTCATAAGATTACATTATAAAACAAAGTTTCCAAGTTAGTGAGATTAACATAAGTAGTTTATGCTTAAAATTAGTGGAAAACTGAATTTCTACCTGAATATAATTTCAATCAATAATTCAGCTATAATTTACAAAGATTTTTTTTATTTCATGGAGGAGAGCTGAAAGCTTAAAAAGGCAAAAATACTACAAACAATAATGTCAAAAAAAAAAAAAAAAAAAAGACTTTTTGTTAAAAAGTGTTGAAAAAAAAAAAAAAAAAAAAAAAAGAAAAGTAAATATCTAATCTATACTCTTTAAAAATAATTAACTTATAAGAGGAAACTGATTCCTTTTCATAGATTAATAGTCCTTTTATAACATTTTTACCAATTTTATGTCCATATGCATTTAAGTAAAATCATTTAATAATTTACTCTTACATGAATAATTACTCAAATATAATTATTTGGTTACTCAATATTTTGAACTTAAAATACAGTCATTAGAGTTCATGAATTTTATAAATTTTATTTATACTGTTATATATTTGTGTAGCTAAAATGTAGAAATTAACAAGATGAATATCAATTTCCAAAATTTGCATAATGCAATTTTAATATAACAACAGCATGTTTAAAAGTAATGACAACTTTCAGCATGTGCTTCATTGTGCTGGAAACTTTTATAAAAAGCAATGAAAAAATGTTATAGGGGAAAAAAAGAATTAAAAGGTTTCCATGAGCAAATCATGTTGTATCATAAAAGAACTAAAAATGTGCTTTTTTTTTTTATTTTAAGTCTAAGACATCTGGCTCACTTGATTATTATGGGAAAAATTACTTTTTTCTCAAGCTTGAAATTTTAAGTGTATTATGTAATAAGCCTCAATTATTTGAAACTGATATTGAAATAATGATGAAGTGCATGTTACAATATTTAAAAAAATAAAATAAAACTAAAACAAAAATTATTCATATCACTATTTTTATGTGAAAAATTTCATGCAGAAGTTACATCATAGCAAACAAAATATGAAACTGATAGGCTATATATAAACTAATATAATTATGACTATGAAATGCTATTTTTTTTATAACAGCATGCTTAAAAGCTTTGTCTTTGACTGGTAGTGGGGTAAAATGAATATTTTTAAAAAGTGATAGATAAAAAGTGGCAAGGGAAAGAGCAAGTGATTAGGAAGGGGTAGTGGAGTGCGCATTGCTGATATCACCAAGCAACCAGCCAAATTACCAATCAACCAATCAGCCAGCCAACAATCTGCTTACACAAGAACAGTATACCTAGCATAAAAAAGATGCTTGTGTCCCTGCAGGTAAGACTGAGGTCTTATGAATAGTAAAAGCAATTCTGTTAAGCAAAGTGAACCAATCAAAACCAGTAAGAATAGTAGATGTAAAAGTAATAGTGGTGGTAATAGTAGTAGCAACAACAGCAGTGGCATTGGTGGCAGAAGGAATAGGAAAGGATGTCTGCTGGATGTCCAGAGGAATAAAATGGCTGAGAAATTCCATTTTTGTTTTGTTGTATTTGTATTTGTGATCTCACCATAAGAATGTGTCTTGATCAATTAAAGGGAGAAGCCAAATTCTAAAGAGAAGGCTCAGGCAGATTTTCAGGAAAAGAGGCTATTTTTCAGCTGAATATATACTCACCTTACCAATAATAATAACAACAGGTAGTTGAACGTGAGATACTTCAAACATCATTGACACAGAGCAAGCTGGAAGGGAGACACTTTTGAGAAAATTCCAAGGAAGCAAAAATAGTTTTAACAAAAATCATATAAATAAAATAGGAAAATATTTAACTAACTTTAAGATATTTTTAAATTGAATTAAATTCATAAGTCATTAAAACATGCTAAAAATCTTAAAATGCATGTATGATACTAAAGTCTCCCTTTTGAAATAAATATTCAATAGTGTCTGTCCATCTGTGTGAAAATGTCATGAATAGCAACACATAAATAAAATGATACATACCTTAATATAGAAAAACCTAAAACCAACTAATTTAAATGGAGTTTTGATGGTTTTTATTCATGCCTTTTTAAAAAGATTATCACTAACTAGGAGGGAAATGTTCTTTGTCTAAATAAGAAGCCCTTTAAAAAAAATTGTTTAATCAGATTTGAGAAGTGTGTTGGGGAAATTTTCCATATTCTCTTGCACAACAAAACTATGTAAAAGATGTTTTGAAAACTTATTCTGTATTGCTGCTGATATAAGCAAAACCAATCCAGAAAAATGTGTATTCAACTAAAAAATAAATGGTTTCTAAATTTGTGTTAAGGAATTTAGCCTGAGAAAATATAGTGTAAACTTCTGCCGTAAAGAATGAGTACATATTGAAAATGAACTTGTTAAAAATAATTATGTTCAACCAGTTGATATTTCTCAGTTAAAATTTGAATAGGCTAAACATTTTTATTTCCACAAGAAAATTTATGAAATAGTTTATCTGATAATCAAGGTATTCATTTTATTTTAATATTCTAAATGATTTAGAAAAATAATTGATGTAAGATTTTAAACATATGATTTAATGAAATTAAAGCTTACTTGACCCAATAAGATAGTTTTGCTACGGGGTGAATAAAGAGTTATTTGATTTAAATATATTTGCTTTTGTATATAAAATCCGTTTTTTATTAATTAGTGAAATCATTTGAAGGAACTATATTTTTAAAATACTAAAAATACTCATTGGTGATCTACATATCTATAACTGAATTAAAACATTAAAACTTGCAAGTGTATAAGATGACTAATGAAAACTGCAGTGTTGATAAGTTTGAATGGAAATACTATAATGATTTTTTCTGAAAATATTGAGTAACAAACAATATTTTCAAAGTCCAAAGATTTAAATTTACATAATAATAATTTATTTTTATTTTTTTCAGTGAGCTTAATAAAACATGAATAAAAGCAGAAATTGTGATAATTAAGAATATTTTATTTTATTTTACAATATTAGTATCTAGTTAAAGAAATTTACTATTTTGTTAGTAGAATGGTGAACCAGTTAATGGTCACAAGTTTAAAATTTGAAATAAATCTTTAATATGATGAGGTACATTAAGTATCAAAAATTATACTTTGGGTTAAAAATAATAATAAATATTATTATTGTCTTCATATTTATTGTTATTATGACAATGCTTTAGCCACTGTACCTTTTGCAGATTAAATAAAGGTTTCAACTCAAAATTACCTGGAGGTTACCTGGAATGACAAATACCTGATGAAAGCTGGCTGGCAAAATGGCCAAAACATTGTGATAACAACAAAGCCGATGACAAAAATCTGCATGTAAATAATGTAAAAAATGATAATTCCTCATTTCAGAAATTCAGACAATAGTTAGAATTTATTCATTAAGACAGATTCTATCATTGTTAGTAACCTTCTTCCAATAATTCTTAAACTTCACAATAAAATTTTGGCAAAAGTCTTCTGGCTTGATTGATGAAAAAGAATTTAGAGGGTAATTTTCACTTTTCCATGTGTTTTTGGACCTGGAATAAATCACAATCAGGAGGATGTAGAATTTTTTCCCCAGCTGAGGTCTTTTCAAATCATTTATGAGGCCATACATTACCATAATGGAACACTAAATTTTTGGAGCTGATCAGATAAGATTTATTTTCCTTCAAAGTAATATTTAAACACTAACTGCTGACAATAGGCATCTGCTATAATCATAACTGACTTGTAGCGATACACCAATGCAATTCAACTTACCAAAAACCTTTGTGCTTTAATCTATTCACTAAGCCATTTTCTGTGTTACTTTATATTCTTATAAAATATCCACGTCTCATCATCAGTTACTAAACTGTCCTAAAATGGCAACATGCATTCATGACCAATCTTGCTTTATGAATGGCTTCTGCCAAATTCAAAGAGCTCATTTTTCAAGTTAAGGCACTACTTCAGACTGTTGTATATAACAGTATACTGTTGAATCACATGATCAATTTTTGCATTAATTCTTCAAAAATAATAGTACTAATTTTATGGATTTCAAACAAAATCAGATCATTGTTAAAAATCAACAAGACCATTTGCTTGTAGCACATATGAAGTGGCCTATTCTAAGCCATCTATTAAGCAATTTCTTTCATGTGAGGAATCCAATAAACACCATATTTCTGCTTGCTTATGTAGCATTGTCACCTTTTCTAAGTTCTTAAAGCATTTAATAACTTGACTCTCTCCAAAATGGATGTGTCTATGGTGCACATAAGACATATGTGCACCATAGACACATCCATTTTGGAGAGAGTCAAGTTATTTACTAAATTAAATTGTACTGTGACAAAGTAACTTGTTTAAAACTGCATGAACACAAACTAGTAAGTATTATGGATCCCAAAGGGTGTTCTCACAGGGCAATAGCTCTCCTTTGTGAGGGGCTGTCGTTATTACCTAGAGCTTGAGACATTCCCAAAAGAGGAAGTGCTGAGAGGGATAGTGGAATTTTGTCTAATCTATGTGCACATGGGTTCCCAATCCACTTTAAACTTGATCATGTGCCACATTCTACTTGAGTGGGTGTGAAGTTAAAGACCTACCAGGAAGCATTATTAACTTATGCATTTTGAAATAGCGAAAATTATCATTCAATTCACTGCTATAAGATTTGGGAGATTACTTATGGGATGGCCTGATAAAAATTTCTTATATAATTATCATTTGATTATTGTATTACAAAATAATAAAATTGTATTATTTTATATGTACAAGATTATTTTCATATATATGTATGTAACAGTAGGACAAGAACTGATGATCAGGTTTTAACATTATCAAATTGTACAAAAATAAATGACTTTTTTTCCTGAATATCTTTGGTGTATATTTCAAGAAACATTAAAACAGGGGGTAAATAAATAGCTTACTGAATCTGTGCAATCATACAATAAGCAGCAACAATATGCTATTCATTCTGGAAAAGGATAATAAGCACAGGTTAGGATTTAAACCTGGCATAAGAAAAATCAAGCAATACCCAGAATGAAGGGGTGGTGAAAAGCTCATGGCCCTACCAAACTCCCAAAATCTGATCAAATGGCCTGATATTTGACTGAATATTTGGTAGAAAGACTTCTTGGTCAGGTTGAGAACTTTTCAGCACCCCCTCATATATGCAGACAAGAAACAAGCATGCACACATATGCATCAATCAATTTGAAAGTAAAATATTTTATAATATTTTCTAAGCTAATAAAAAACACTTATGTTAGTTACATATTAGTAATGGTTGGTCTGTTATATTTGATTTTGATTTGAAATAAAAAGCAGTTCACATACATTTAAGATCCAGTGTTTCAGATATCAAAAAATATAAACAAGAGGATCTAAAAAGTACCATTTTAGAAATAATATTCTATCATTAAATCGTTTTGAAGATCTTGAATACAATTAAGAAATAAATATATAATGTAGCTATTTTAGCTAGATTATTTATTACTTACATACCATCTTTATCAAAACTTATTTAGAAAATTTGAGTATTTATGTTGTATTTGTTTTAATAATAATAATAAATTCAACTGAAGAGAAATAACACAAAATTTGCAAATACAATTAGGAATTAACCAATTCCACACTAAATTATCAAATAAATTATACTTTATAACATATACATAAAGCTGGCAAATAAATGTCTTCATGAAAAGAGAACTATTACAGAAACAATTTGTTCATTCAAATATCAAATAGTTTAATGTTGTTGTTTATAAAATAAATGAGAAAATTTCAATACTAACAAAGCTCAAATTTGTTGTTAAACTACCAGACATTACAATTTAAAACTTTCAGAATAGGGAAGGCTATAACAACACGTGGTAAGTGACTTGTCAATAAGAAAATGGATTTGTGTGTATTAATAGGATGCTATCCATCACTGCACTTCCCACAAGAAATTATTTACCTTAGATATATAACGGAGTGAGTGCCAATTCCTAAAAGATTTTTACAGAATATTAAGCAAATTTTCACGTCCATATCAAAAACATTCAGTAATAAGAAAGTTACAGATAATCTAACACAAACTTAGACCTAAATCTAGTAATCTGTAGTGAACACAAGAGTTGTCTTGAATATTTCAGTTTTATTCAGCTGATATGAATGAATGTTTTAATTACCAAATTCATTGTTCTATAATTTATTAACAGTTGGAAAAAAAACACATGGAAATACTATCCAAATCCATATTATCATTTAAAAATGGAGTTAGCAAATGCTTTCACCAATGTAAAATATTTTCTAAAATGATCTTACTTTTCACAAGTTGTAAGTCGAATTAATCAATCACCCAATATAATGAAATTAGAACTTACTTGAAAATATATTTTATATTTAATAAATTACTATAACAGTAAATGATAGAAAATATTTCACTATCACAGTAGCTATGTTGAACAAATAGAAATTAAGTAATTTCCAAATCATCTGAAGCATAAAAAAATAACATTAGAAGTGAAAGGTCTTAATTGTGAAAATTTGTAGAAAATAATTCAGCCACTTCCTTCAACGCAATCTATTGAATTTTAATGTCATCATTGACACAACAATGTGATAACAAAAACTTTAAATGAAAACAAGGAAAATCATAACATAAGAAACATGGAGGAATAGTTAAAAATTGCACAATATCAATTGAATCCTAAGTAAACAAGTTAGAAAAAGCACTAAAATATTAATTTGTCAACTGACATTTACATTCAGACTAATGTATTTTATCTTTGTTATTGTTATCATAATACTGGCCCTTTTACAGGTGTCAGTTGATTGAACTCATAGAACAATAGCCTAGTGTATTAGTGCTGGTTTGAAAATTTGGTGATACAATAACTGAGTTCAATCCCTGGGCTGGGTAGTACAGACTCAGAGGAATCAGGTCAAGCAATAACTGAGCATTACTAAAAAGAAGACGACGAGATAATCTTGAACATCAATAATGGAACAAAAACAATCTACCACTGTAAATTAAATAAAGGGCTCAGTTCGAAATTCCTTGATAGTTACCAGGATTGACAGACATCTGAAGGAGGTCAGAGGGCACAATGGCCAAAAGTGTGACAATTATTACTAAGATGAGGAATGTATGTAATTAAATCTTCATCCCAGAAATTCAGACAGAAATGAGAAATAGATTTTTTATATATATATATATATATAAAATGAAAAATGGATTAAGTCCAACAATTATTTAATATATTTTCTGTTTATACATTATTTATGTAGATATAACTTATTTAAGTAAATGCTCTGTTTTTAATTAAACAGTATTAATTACATTTACTAGCCTGAATACAAGTTCAATTCCTGCTGGAGAACACATATTTTCTACAAAATTTCTTGAAAATTCAGGCCAGTAAATGTAATTAATACTCTTTCAAAAATAATGTATAAACAGAAAATATATTACATAACTGTTGGACTTAATCCATTTTTCATGTTGTCATTGTTTACGTTTCATAAGTAGATATGATCAACTGAAAAAAATCGTTAAAGATTGTGTGTTTATAAACAGTAATTTGGACTTTGCTAACCAGATGAAAATATTCTTACATACAGAAAGTGAACTGTTTCAGGTTTCACTACAAGTATGACATTTTAAAGAATAAACGAAATAAAATAAAGACAGAAAGAAAGAAGAGAGGTGGAGATGATCTAATCTATAACATAAACCCCCATTATTATTAATTTTACAAGCAGCACTTGTAGATTCTTTTTATACACATTATACAAGAAGCAATTTATCCTATTTTTTCATGTTGAAATGAGAAAAATTAAGGTACTTGTACTTTTGCTAAATTTTACTTGTTCTAATCTTATATCAAAAGATTGAAGTAACATGAGAATAAATACAAAATATTCAACATTAAATTTTTCTAATAAATTTTTTATAAGCCTAAATATTTCAAAGTAATTGTCAGTCGTTTTTCTTTAAGACAACCTTATTTTAATGAAATACCCATTCCAGTTAATAACTTTAAAATTAAGATGAACATTTTGCTTTACTTAGATAGCTATGAGAATCTAGCCCTCCAAGCAAACCTGTACAATAAAACATTTGATGTAAGTCCATAAACAAATGCAATTTATGCTGTATTTATGTCTTTACCACCATTGCCACCACCACCACCGCTGCTGCCAACACCATTGTTGTTTACAAAATTCAAGAATAATAATAAAAGTTTTCTTAATAAAATATAGGTATACATATTTTTACTTACCCTTGACCAATTGGTGCAAATGTGTTCTGATAAGAGGATTTTTGGTCTTGAGACAGCGCTGAGCTGCATCCTGGTTGAACCAGCTGAACTTGTCCAAAGTTAGCCGACTGGGGTGACAGAAGAGCTGCAACTTGTTGAGAGCCAGCCACAGTACTGATAGATGCTGTTGCAGGGACAAGAGAAGATTGATTAAGCTCTGTAGGGGCTGCTACAGCTGCTACCGTTGCTGTTACAGGTGCTGCTGCAGCCGCTGCTGAAGTTATTAATGTTTGCGATTTGATAAGAGGCAAGGAATCACTGCAGTCATTTTCTGATGACCCTATAGTTGAAGGCAAAAACTCTTCTTCAGGCCATTTATAGGCATTTTCACTGATTTGGCTATCACCAGACAGGGATGGATCCGGCTGCAATATAGAATTTTTTTATAATTAATTGACTGCATTATCAAAGTAAATAACAAATTTCTATAATAAAAATCTTTCAAAATTAACCAAAAACATTGACATATTTAAAACATGAGAGCAATGAAAGCAGAATTTTTGTTGTATTTTTTAATTATTCAGTATATTAGGATTTTCAGAATAACTTTCATTTTTAATACCCAAAAGCCGAAATAAACACAATAAACACTAAAATAATTTAATTTTAGTAAAAAAAAAAAAAAAAAAAAACATATTAAAAGAAACAGACACTGTATTATGCATGCAAAAGTTCCCAGCAGTCCTCTTTTTTTGTGTTCTGTATTCAGTGTTCATTTATACAATGTTGACAAAGATAGAAAAATGACACTCTATGTTGCCCCTTTTTTATGTTGAATATGACATCAGTAAAAGCAAATAAGAAATAAGATGACTAATGAAGTCTATGACTGATTTGTTTGGAAGCAGGACATGCGAATGGTTTGTGAAGTTCAAAAATGAATTTGACTTGATGGACAGATCAAGCAATGATAAAACATATTTGGGAGTGATAGCTTGTAAGTTCTTTTGGATTATGACCCACCCTATTCAATATACATTGGAACTGTACAAAGTTCTTTTGGATTATGACCCACCCTATTCAATATACATTGGAACTGTACAAAGTTCTTTTGGATTATGACCCACCCTATTCAATATACATTGGAACTGTACAAAGTTCTTTTGGATTATGACCCACCCTATTCAATATACATTGGAACTGTACAAAGTTCTTTTGGATTATGACCCACCCTATTCAATATACATTGGAACTGTACAAAAAACTTGGTGTCAATCACTCAACAGTTGTAAGACATATACAAAGAGAGAATATTAAAAAAAAGCAGGGAAATTGGTTGCAAAAAAATTGTCAGAGTAAAGCTGTAGCAAAGAAGTCGAATTCAACAGTGTAAGGGACGCAACTCTTTCCGTCGGAAAATGTCTGACACAATGCAATGCAAAGCAATGTACACCGAACACGGGTGTAATGCCCTTCTGCCAATTTCTCCAAGTGACCTGCTTTTATGGAGCCCAGACACACCTAATTAGCATGTGTGTAACGCGACTTTGCGTGACTGCACGAGAGCGTGAATATTAAAAAGTCACGGACGCCATCTTGGACCCTTTCTTTCTTTTCTCAACCCACAGGCCAGACAGACGCGAGGGCGTTTGGGAGGTAAGCCATTTCTATTTTCCCCCACACTCCCCCCTGATCTCATGATCACAGAGTTGACAGGAGGCGTCGATCGCTTTTAAGCTGGGTGCTTCTTGAAGAGGGACGCTGCGAGCCTCATCGTCGCTTGTGCTCCCGTCCGCGGTATGAGGGTCGAAAAACACCGCGTCCCTTGGAAGGCTACTGATATCTGAGTCACTGCCTGATGGAGACATATTGTAAGACATATACAAAGAGAGAATATTAAAAAAAGCAGGGAAATTGGTTGCAAAAAAATTGTCAGAGTAAAGCATTGGACAGTATCTCATCATTAACCTGTTTTGTGGAAGATGAAAAGTGGATTCACTGCAATCATCCAAAATGCTACAAGTAATGATCATGGTAAATCCAGGACAGTCCACAGCATCAACAGCAAAATCTCGTTTTTGTTTTCCAGGGGGTGGGGTGGTGGTGGTGGTGGTGGTACTGTTTTCCATTTGGTGAGATACAAAAGGCATCCTGTATTATAAATTGCTCAAACCTGGTGAAACTTTTACTTCAGACTATTACAGTCACTTTCAAAGTTTGAAAAACGATCATTTATAAGATAGGGAAATCAATATGTCTGATGCATGACAATGCTTATCCAAATGTTACTTTGCAGAAGAAAAAATAATTGTTTTGAGATTGGAAATTATGAACATGGATGGATCCAGAACAGCCCACAAAATCAGGAACAAAGCCTAATTAATATGTTTAGGAAAAATGTAATCATTTGTCATCAACATTCCTTACCTAGTTAAAAATGTAGACATGCTTTCAATATTCAAACTTTCACTGAAAATATTTACTGCATTACAAGACCAGGATCATTTGATCAAGATAGAATCTGAAAAATTCCAGAACTATATAGGTTCATTGAATGTCAAGTTTGAATTTTAAAACTACCAGAATGCTGATGTAAAGTCAGAAAAAGTCAAGGAAAATTTTTTGATGTTTAATAAATACATGTATTGGTTATTAATTAACTAAATTTAATAAAAAAAAAAATCCAGAAATTTTTGCACATACCTATTATATCAAATATAAGAATAATAATAATCATCATATTTAAAAATATTAAGAAAATTTAGTAATTTTCAATAATCAAATTTATCCATATTATTCATAATTATAAAGCCAAACAAATATATTGACTTTTCATTCCCACATCTTTATTTCTCCAAGATAAATATTTTTTTTTCATACTTATGTTGAGGAATTGTTTGAATGTTTAGTCTACTGGTGAGAGACCTTATAAATGGATCTTCATTGCTTTATTTGATACTTGAGCACATTTTCTCAATGGCATTTCCTGCCTTATAGCAATCATAAAACCAAGTTTTGATTTATTGTGATTATTTCCATAAAACTTCTCCATAATACCAATCTGAATTCTAATCAATACATTAGGCAAAAATTAATTAGCACCAACTAAGAACTAAAATAAATTCCAAAATTCTTAATTCACTGCTTCAGACACTTATTTACAACTAATGGAAAACAAGTTTAGAGACAGCTGAACTTGAAATCAATTCCCACTGTTATCCTATACTCAATTTTATTTAGGCCCAAAATATATTGTTTTGATTGAAAACTATATCAAAAATCAATTAATTTAAATCAATGCTTTCATTGTTTTAGCTAAGATCCATAGTGAGATTTAAATGACTATATAAATGCTGATAATTTTCTCACATGATGTATTGACATTCAAAAATCAATGACTATGTAAATACAATGATGTTAAAAGATTAATTTTTAAGTGCAATAGCTACAGGGATTTTTAAGTATGAACATTATCAATTACAAAATGATGTGAGATGTTTACAAGGTACAGGAATTTGATATTTTGTAAACTATTTTTAATTCAGTAATGCCAGGTAAATTTACAAGTGCTAAGTAATCGAAGACAATAAGGCTAGAAATCAATATATTTTTAATAAGTGTAATAAAATGATAAAAGAGATATAGATAGAACTTACAGAGCAAATTATGTGAGTGTTGTTAAGAGTAAATCTGTTTATCAACCAAAAGTTTATTCATCCAATTTGAGTTAATTGCAACAATTCATTTATTCAGATAGAAGAGACATGCATGAAGAGAACAGGAAAAGTATTTGTGAGAACCCCTTTCAAAAATGAGACAACTACAATTCTAAGTTATAATTAAAGTAAGCAGAGCATGACATAAATAGAAATAATTGATGAAGCACCATAATTAGTTCTCTGGCACCAACATGCCTACATCCCAAAAGCAACTAACATTGAGCAAATTATTCTAACATTTTCTACCTTCTTATTTTATAGAAAAACATTTTTGACAGTTTAGTTTCTTTCCTATCTTGATTTAATTTCTGCTAGTGAATATAATAGCTAGATAGCATATCTTACGGTCATCTTACCTATATACTATCTGGCCATTCTGAAAAGAAATGAAAAGAAAAAAAATGTTGTTGGTGTGATGGGGTGAATATTATGAAGTTTTATGAGGATCTCAGTTAAGTAATTTAAATAACTTGATGCTAAAAATGGCTATTTTTCAAAGTGTATGAATATACACAGCTAATATTACTCATTAAGAATTGATTAATCCTGCAAATATTAACATAAAACAAAGATCATCTGCTAAAGAAAGGAAACTAATTCATCATAAAAATAGGTAAAATTCAAGTACTAAATATTTTCTAAATATCTCTGGAAGAATATTATTATTAGACTGCAATTCCCAGGATATACAAGAGTAAAGAACAAGATATTAAAAAAAAAAAAAAACCCATGAAAAGAGTAAAAGAAAAGGAGCAGTAGCACAAACATCAAGAATCAAAAACATTTATTATACAAACTTTGATTATCTATATTGTTATAGTGGGATTTGAAACGTGAGCTTCAAAGTTGTGGGATACAAGTTAGTCTCATCCTAAGTTCCTACTTTATTCCAAATTCCTACCATTTAATGGCTAAAGAATAAAATGGCTAAAAATATGACTGAAACAACAAAAAGTAAACACTAGTCAAAAGTAATAATCAAATATGTACTAAAATGAAAATATTTAAATTCTTAGAATCACAAAAACCACTCGAGAATAGTCTGTTTGGTTCACGACTATTTGATCAAAAGTCTTCAACTGTATTCTGCTGACTTTAAAGAGTTAGCTGATAGCAAATGTTCAACTATTATCTAGATAAGATTCAAATATATGGGTGAGATAACCCACATGCATAATTTTAGGAAATATCCAATAGAATAGTATAGAATTACTTAGTCTCTTGAAGAAATAATTAAAATCCCTAAAAGCAAAATGTATATGTAGAGAAAAAAAAAAAAAGAGTCAAGAATATAGAATTATATTTTTTTAAATAGGAGAAAAAAATAGGCAGTATGATATGATAGTGGTAGAAAGAAAAGAGAAAGGTTAGCCATCACAGTGACGGAATGCTCCTAAACATGAACTGAATTCTACACTTAGGATAACCACCACAGATGAATTTAAATAAAAGACAGTGTATATTTTTAAAGTTTTTACTGATCATGTTCAGAAATTGAAATTCAGCTTAAAAAGGGTATATATTTTGGGATTCATTTTCTGACTTTATTTGAGATGCCCCTTGGAGTGATATTCTTAACCTTCCTATTGACAATTGTGTTGCAGAGGTTTCTTCTTGGGTTAAAGCCGGAATTGATGCTTTTGTACCTTCTCGCAAATATCAGATGAAACTACGATCTTCTCCTTGGTTCACACCAGTCTGTTCAGTCACTATATCCTAAAGGAATCAATTTCTGAATGTATCAGCATAATTTTGGTCACAACAAACACCTATTTGAGTCTGCTCAAAATAATTATAAACATGTCCTCAAAGACATTAAGTCTTTGTTTACTGATAGAATGAGGAACCATATAGCCTCTGTAATAGTGTAAGAGTAAGTCTTCTATTCCATCACTCTTCACTCAATTTGAGGTGTTAACATCTTCTGGTAAAGCAGAATGGAATATCTTTGCCTGACTTTGAACAGAGTTTCTATTGAGTGATATGCATATATCACTGTCCATGGTTTCTGCTCTCATCTCTAAACTGGATCCCCTTGAAGTATGTGGACTTGATGGTATCCCTACAATAGTCCTTAAGAAATGTGCTCTTTCTAAACTCTACAATAAATGCCTTGCTGCTTCTTGGAAATCCTTTTCCATAGTTCCAGTCTTTAAGAACTATGACAAACCATATCTTTCTAACTGGCCTATTAGCCTTCTACCACATTTTGGGAAAGTACTAGAGGTTCTAATTAACTCTGAATTGTTTAAGCATCTCGTTTTCATAGGGTCTTCTTTCAGATAAGCAATATGGATTTTACTTTGGATATCTCAAAGGCATTTGACAGGATTTAGCATACTGGTCACAAATTGAAAAGTTATGGTATTTCTGGACAAATTTTCTTATCAAATCTTGAAATGAAATTTTTCTTGCCAGAATCTATTTTACAAACTTATAACTCTACCATTCATCCTTGCTTTAAATATTGCTGCCATAGTTGGTCAGGTGCTCCTGCTATATATTTAGAGATTCTTGATAAAATCCAAAGAACAATCTACAATGTTATTGGTTCTGTCCTGACATCACGGATTCAGTTACTTTCACATTGTCATAACAGCCTTGTGCCTTTTCTATAAAAACTTTCATGGGAATTGCTCTGATGAATTTTCCTCTATGGTACCTAGATTTATGAATTTAAGCAGCAAGGTCTCATCATATTTCACAGTTGAAATGGCTAGATGTAACCGTAAGTTCTATGCTAACAGTTTCTTCTCTCGCACTTCTTATTCTTGGAAAGCTCTTCCAGTTTCTCGATTCCCTGTCAACTTTAATCTTCAAAAATTTAAATGCAATGTCAATCATTATCTTGTCTTCTTAATTCTTGTTCTTTTATTAATCTCTTTCCTTAATAGTATTTTTCTCATACTCTCTAACACTCAGTAATCCCTTGGATCTTAGTGGCTTTTCACTTGCAATGAAATAATAATAATTGTATATATATATATATATATATATATATATATGTGTGTGTGTGTAAGCAAATGTAAATGGATATAGATCCGACAGAATGAAGAAAAATTTGGAAAAAACAAACAAAAATCCTTAAATAATTATATTTGTTTAAAATTTAATAAATATTTATTAAACGTCTGACGTTTCGGTTTAATCATTCATTTTAAAACAAATATAATTGCATTTAAGGATTTTTGTTTGTTTTTTCCAAATTTTTCTTCATATATATATATATATATATATATATATATATATATATATATATATATATATAGTTACTGATCTTTGAAATGATATATTCTCTCATCATTGATAATATAAATTGTGACATGTGTTAGTTTCACAAGCCATGGATAGTGACTTCAACTTGCACCGAGTTCTCCATAAATGTAAATTTAACCCTAACTTGATTTATACTAATCAATATCTATTTGTTTTATTTATAGTATAAAAAATAGTATAAAACATGACAAAAATAACATTTTTTGAAGCTGCAATTTGGAATTTTCAAATTTTTCTCACTCAAAATACTGAATATTTTTCCAATTAGAAAGAAATTGTTAATATTATATATCAACCTTCAACTTGTTATTTCCTATTCATATTTCAAAATGTACTTGCTTTATGCCAACCCTATATTTAACAAAAAAGTACATATTGAGAAATACTACTCACCTCCGCTCCATCTAAAAATTCAGTTAAAAGTTTAGGGTCTCTGAAATAAAAATAAATAGACTTTCAATATGTCTATGGATAATATTTATAAAGCAAGTTTGAAAAATAAAAGAATAAAAAAAAGGAGCTTCTGTTAGAAAAAATGAACAAAAATTAAATTACTCAGAATACATTTACCAAATTATGCCAAGTAAACTTTGGTAAGTGAAGCACATGTTAACTACAGGCACTCACGTAAGAGCAGATCAAGGCTCGTTTCACAGGTCACTCTATTTCTTAAATTAACTAATTACTAAAAGTTTGCCCATTGTATTGTTAAATATACTCTATTTGTTAAAATGCTTCAAAAAAGATTTCGTTCTTTTAATTACAAAATAAAGATTAACTGAAGAAAATTATTATTAGCACATATTTAGGTGATACTTTAAACAGCATAGAGTAAAAATAATACTACAGAAAGGAAAAATTATTTAATAGATTCAGTGTAAAAATATATTTCTAAAAATGAATAGATTATTACAATGATTATACCAAAATTTATGGATGATTTTCTCTTCTATTTTTATCTTTTGCTATTACTTTATTCTCTATTCTATTGCCATTAAAAAAGTTTCTTCAATTAATCTTTATTTTTTATGTAATTGAAAGAACAAAATCTTCTAGGCATTTTAACAAATAAAATATATTTTCTTGTTTGGAAAGCATGGGCAAACTGGAGATCAAAAATTTATGATCCATGTAAGCATTCCTAACAATTTCATGTGGACCCACACAAAGTCATTTTTATATAAAAAAACTATTGTACCAATACCATAAAAATGACAGCAAGAAATTTTTATTAGTGAGATGCAATGAGACAAAGGTCTTGAAACAATGTACTGAGATTCAATAAAGTGAAGATTGAGAATTCACAACTAAAATAAAAACCATTAAATGAGCCGTTTAATTAATTTGTTTCCATTCTATTTTTTAGACGTTCAATGGTACCTATAATTCATGGATTACTCCTGATACTATATAAATAATGTTTTGCTAAGCATCTCTTCATGTTAAACATTTTGTGTGTTTAGTATAACAGTGAAATGGCAATATCTCTCAGATGAAAAAGATTAGCAACAGAATGACGATGACAGTGATGACAAATCCTATATCAAGAGCATGTTGAAGCAAGACAATCATTTAATAGACAAAGGTAACTGTGTGCATTATATGAAGGCTTGAACAAATACGACTGCAATCTAAAAAATGTGGAAGTCAAGAAAGTGCTTAATTAAATAGTTCATTTTGCTTGGGAACTAATTTCGTCTAGATGCAGATAAATATTTTATTTGTATAGATTATTAAAACTAAGGGAAGTAATCACTCATAAATTTACTAACTTAAGTTGATTTACCTCCCTTTCAACTGCAGGACCTATATAAATATACATTGACTGATGATAGTATAATACAAAATAGCATCACTTAAAGTTCTTGGCCTGACCAAGAAGCCCCTAATAAAAGGGTTTTGTTAGATTTTGGAAATGGATTAGTCCAAGAACTTTTCAGAACCCCTCACAGAGTATAGTATATAATTGTTATCATGTTTATCTATTGTAAGAGGTTTTTGCAAAAATAAAAGTTATTTTTATTCATTTGTTTTGGCAATAATTTTCTACATTCATTAAAGTCACATTTTATTTGAACATACTTTTTCAAGGGAAAGTTCAAAAAGAATTTTAATAAAAGTTAATGAGCTCAGAAAACTGCATATAGTCCTGTATTCTGTACCTTTTTGACCCATCTACATTCATTAAAAAAAACATCCTTTTTTGACATTTTCTTTAAACAGAGAATTTTAAGTTGGGAATAAAAAAAATACGTAAAAAGAAATTGGATAATGCACATTATTTCAAGTAAGGTTTTGAAAACAGTCAACTGGGTAGTTATATTGCTGCAACAGGTTCTAGCCTCATAAATGATCAAATGATTATGAATAGTTATAATTAACTAAATATATCTATGCAATCACTCAAAGATTTTGTTGTAACAAAAACCAAGTTTTAAAATTCAAATACTTATATCAATCATTTCTTATTATTAAACTTATAAATATTTGCCAACTATTTATGTTTCAGGTTTTTATATAGTTATTAAATCACTGAAAGAAAGAACTCATGATTAACGTAGCTAAATCATTTTTCCTTAATTATCAGTGATATTTTCATTTGACATCAAAATTCTTAAAATATATAATAAAACATGTGGTTTAGCATTATTCCTATATTTTAATATGAACCATAAAATCAAAGGTTCAGAATATAGCTTTAAATTTGAATGTATAGCATCACTTGAGAAGATACAATATGTCTTTCAGCAGTATTCAGCTTAAATAGATGTTTGTATGTTATAGATTGATGAGCAATTCTTAACCAATAGACCAGTCCTCATTAAAAAGATTTGTTTTTCATCTTTATTGAAACAGGAAGGTTAGTAAATATCAATTTGGATCCTATTCTGTATACAGCTATTTGATGTAAAATAAAATTAATACTCTAAATGGAATGAGTGCATATTATAATGATAACCGACATAGAAAATAAGAGGAGTGTGTTGAGTTCCAGTTTCAGCTGAGGCCATTGTGTTTGCTTTTGTACAATTACCCTTGGAAAGGTTTGAATCTATCTCCTCTTCTTTTAGATAGGGGTTAATAGCAGGGTAAACTGGGTTCTCTAGCTTTGGTTGGCAAGCAATATAGGAGAAAGACAACTCTGAATTTATAAACAGTTGAGTGTGGGACTAGCAACTCCACCTCATAAAACAAAAACCTTAACAAACAAGAAAATGATTTAATGTTCTAAGGATAAAATAAAGAAAATAATTGAACATCAAGGTATTAATTGAATTTACTACATTATTGTTATTGAATACAGTATGCAATCTTTTAAGCAAAATTCCAAAAAACAAAGATTTTCAGGGAGGTCATCTGCATATCAAAGTTTGTGATGCAATGCATTTTCTTGTTAATTATTTATCTACAATAATATTTTTTTCATAGTTTTATTCTTTATGTATTATGAAAAATAATTTCACTCATCCACAACTATTCACTGAATTAACACAAGCTGAAGTATTGTATATATGTTAACCCATAGACTACCCTGTAGGGTATAAGGCTACAGCCTCACTATGCTATGTGTTTCTGTAGCAAATAAGGTTTTTTGTTTTATGGGGGGGGGGAGTTGCTAGCCCCACACTCAACCGTTTATGAATTCAGAGTTGTCTTTGCACAACAAAACTTTGGTATGCAGATGACCCACATTTAACCTACTAGTAGGCCAGTTGATTTTCTGTTCAACATGTTTTATTGTTCATTTATATTTTTTATTGTTTTATTTTATGACTTTGAAGTCTGAAAAAATATCAGAGTCTCAGATGTTACTTGGGTTTAAAAGTGAGTAGCAGACAAGGAAGCATCTATTGCTATCCATATATTAAAAAAAAAATTGCTTGCAGAAATTTAATTGTATACGTGTTGCATTTTACTGAAGATTAATGTTAGAACCACTCTGCTGTCTATTAAAAAAATAAGGATGAGTGTGATTCAGAAATTAATGAAATAAAAAAAATATTACATAGGTTAAAGTAAATGAAGCTCTTAATCATGTGTTGATGAAGTGGGTTAGAAAAATGTGTTTTTTTTTTTTTTTATTTTTGAAATTTTACTGAATATTTTAAAAATAAAAAGTACACTTGTAATTTCATATTTTTATTCACTTCATCACTTACAAAACAAATAAATTATAATATTATTTTGTCTTTATCTTTATTCATCTCAATGTGAATATTCATTGTAGAAATATTACTGTTTGCCATTACTTATCAATATTGTATAATGGGGTGATGAAAAGTTCTCAGCCTGACAATGAAACCTTTCTTACCAAAACTCTCATGTTGGAGCAGATTTTGGAATGCAAGTTGAGCTGAGAACTTTTCAGCATCGCCTCATACAGTACCAGTTCAGCACTAAGCCTCTTGAAAACTTGCATAGTTCCAGTATATACAGCTTGTATATACTACTATTCTGAAAACCAAAAAAGTTTTAACTTTTAAAAATGTCTGCTCAGAAAGGTTTCCGATAAAAGCTCATGTATTGCATTACCTACAAATATATTTTAATCCTATGTAAACATAGTTATCAGTTATGCTTACATATTCCACTTGTAAACATGGCTGGTAACATGAGTAAAAACAATATTGTCTAACTTATGGTTTTACCTTTGAAGAGTAGTATATTTTGACTCCTGGGTAAGCTTGAGCTGTGGCTCTAGACATCTCTAAAGCATTTGATAAGGTTTGGCATGTTGGCCTTCTTCATAAGCTTCAGGGATATGGTATTACAGGACGATTATTTGACTTAATATAATCATTCCTGTCAAACCATGAAATGAAGGTCGTCTTAAACAGGTTCTCTTCTGGCTCCTTTATTACGAACGCTGGGGTTCCCCAAGGATCTATCTTGAGCCTTACACTGTTCCTAATCTTTATCAATGACCTTCCTGGTGTCATCAGTTCCCAAGTTGGCATCTATGCAGATGACACTACTATTTACTCCTGCCTCAATAGTAAATCTGGTATCGTTGACAAAACTAACCTGGCTCCTGGTCTCAAAAAGGACCTCCAATCTGTGGTTGACTGGGGCAGGAAATGGCTTGTAAACTTTAATGCCTCCAAAACGAAACTGCTCTCCTTTACCCACCACAGAGAACCCTCCCCACCTCCCATTAGAATGGCTGATTCCCAACTCCTCGAGAGAGCCTCGTTACACCTGCTTGGTCTCACGCTGCCCAATGACATGAGGTGGAATAAATACATTGAATCAATAGCTTTGTCCACAAGCAAGGAAAGTTGGCTCTCTGTGTCATGCCAGAAAGTTTTTCTTGTCTGAGTCCATCCTTCAAATCTATAAATCAACCATCCGTCCTTGCATGGAATATTGCTGTCATATATGGTCTGATACTCCCACTGTATGTCTCAAGGTCCTTGACAAAATCCAGAGACGAATATGCAAGATGATAGGCCCTGATCTGGCATCTAGTCTACAATAGCTATCACACAGACATGCTGTGGCCTCCTTCTGTCCCTTCTACAAGTATTTTCACAGCAACTGTTCCAATGAGCTACTTTTGCTGGTTCCTGGACTGCATGAATTTAAGCGAGCTACCAGGCTGGCACCTTGGTCCCAAACTTTCACTGTCAAAATGGTAAAATGTAACCGTCTCTTCTACTCAAACAGCTTCTCCCGCATTTCCCGCCTGTGGAACTCCCTTCTCCTTACTTGCTTCCCCGATGACTATAATCTTTAAATATGCAAGTGTAATGTCAACCGACATCTGACAACCAGAACTTGTTTCCCATCCTTCTCTGTATCCTTACCCCAAATATGCCTCTTTACTCTTGTTCTCAATCCTCTGTAACCCCTTGTGTATTAGTGGAGCTCCTTCCTTGCTTGGAGTGTATTGCTTTAAAAAAAAACAAAAAAAAAACTATGGAGCAAGACAGCTACCAAGATGGATGAGTGCATTGTCTAAACAATCAAAATATCAGTCTTAATCTAAGTTAGAAACTATTTTGGTAGAATGAAAGTTGTTAAAAATGTCCAGACTCCAACATAAAAACAATTTTGAAAATAATTTTACTTAACACTTTCAAAACCACAACTAAGTCTGAACAAATAAAAAAAAGTTCCTTAAATTTACCATGAATATAGATTAGTCAGAGTTGAAAAACTGAAAAAAGGAGGCAAAATCCAGGGTATTATTTAATAGCAAGGCATCTAATTTAAATTCCATAAACAGTATATTAAAATGATATTTTATGCCACTCTTTATGCATATCAACATAATTTGAACTACTCAGATATTTTAATAAAAGATTTATATAAAATTATTCAGCACATTTTTAAATTAAAAAAATTATATATAGTTACTCACTGTGCCTAAGTTAAGCAAAGTTGGGCTGAGATATATATTTTGCATGAGCTTATGTTATTCCTGCTTAATGACAGATGAATAAATATTCTTGAACTAAGTCATCAAATGTAAGTTTAACTTTATTAACCACTCATTATTCTTTATTGATGACTCCAAAATTGATAAGATTTAACTTTAATTATTAGAGAAACTAAAATAAACTTTGTTCCAAGTATATAAGAAAACAACAATTCAAAACCAAGACTTATAATGATGAATACAAATAACTTCCCAATTATAGATGGATAGTCAGTTTTGTACATTCCCAAATATAGTATCAAATGTATCAAAAGGATCCTTGATGATTACAATGTTACAATTTGGTCCAATTATCTTTAATACTTAATGTTGATTTAACTAACCAAACGACAGAATACTACTGGAAATAAATCTCTAAACTTTGAACATGTGCAGCAGAAGAGAAACTATTTTTCATATATAGACACTTTTTTATCTTGTAGCATGTCAATAACCACAGCTGATATCGACTTCAAATATTAGGTGAAGAAAAAAAAAATATCACAAGATTGTTATTATACTCTCGTTTAGAGAAACTATTAACTACTTTAATATTTTAGATAATCTTTTTGTTTTTAAAATTCCTTATATAATGTAATGAAATATTCATAACACCTTACATATTGTTTAAAATTCTAATGTATAAAATTGTTGTATATGACCTGTACATTTGAAAAAATGAAAATAAAAATTATTTAATTTGGGTATGAGCTAACAGCTTTTTGAATATTAATTACTTTTACAGAAACAAAGCAAAAAAATCTTAAATTTCTTTAGTAACATGTAAAACTATATACCAATAAAAAGGTTATTAGAGCTTTAAAAACAGACATTTTAATCATTACACACATTAAAAAAAAAAGAAGGAAGAGCAAGGATTAGCAAAAAAAAATAAATAATTATTACTCACCATAAAATGAATCAAAAAATATAAAAAAGAAAAAAAAAAGGTCTAACTGGTAGTTGTGCTTTGCACTTAAGAGGACAAAGCATATATGTGCACAATGGTTAAAAAAGTGAGAGAGGAGAAAATAAAAAAAAATAAATACCACCAGAGAATCAGCTTTATAAATCAGACAGATTACATTTTGAGCCAGCAGCCATTCCTTCTGTTTGCAGAGGGAAGGCTTCTTAGACTTAATATACAAGGTCTGGATCATTTTCAAATGTTAATCCAAATGTGCTCTGTTGACTACTGTAAAAATAACATCTGGTAAAAGATGAGGCATAAGTTTATTATGTGCTCTGCAATTTCAAAAGCAGAAATAACAACAAGTGTATGCGAAGGTTCATGCTTCCCTTTCCTGATCTTAGCTGGTACATGTTGATCCTAGCTACCAACCTTGGATTAGTTCTGACAATATATTCAGCATTTATATTTAAAATCCTAAATCACTGAACTAACATGTCAATAAAAAAGGTTCTTTTTGAACTAGAATATTATGAGATAGTAATTGTATTAAAATGTTCAATTTGTAAATTACATGATCTTAAAAGAATACATGTTCATCATTGCCATAAGACAGCCACTGTGCTGAAAGAGTTAACTTTTTGTCTATACTATACTTCTTCAATAAAATGTCCCAAATCATTATAGTTTTAAGTGTCTAGGCAAGAATGTATAGTAAATTCTGAAGGTAAATGTTTTCTTACTTACCCTATCACATCCAGTAAACAGCGGCCATCCTCCATGACAGAGTGAACTGCAAAAAAAAGAAAATTTATAAAGCATATATAAAAAAACAAGCAGAAAATGGGTTCAATATGACAAGTTAGCAAAAGATCATTTTGCAATCATCAGATATAAAAGCTGATTTCATGAAGGCCTCTAATAGAAAATTAATTTCCCACTTATGCATAGTTTTCATGGTCCATCTCTTCAACAGCAGATATTGGCAATAAATAGGATTGGAATAAATAAATCTGCATCAAATGCCAAATACATTCACAAATAATATTTCTATTCATCAACACAGACATATTTGAAAAGATATTTTATCAATAATTACTATTAAACTATATGGTTTATTAACTACATCATTAAAATAAACAAAAATAATTGATACAATAAAATCTCATTCATAAATGCATGGCCACAAAAATAGACAATATTTTAGAGTTCATTTTTCTTATTCTTTTTTAATTAAATGGGGATTAGATAAATAAGCTGAAGAAGACAAAGCAAAAAGATTTTTACCACTTATGCTCTAAATGTAAAGTTTGAGTTTGTCTTTACAAGATAGTTGAGACAATTGTTAAAATTATTTTCCATTCCTATAAAATACCTGTTTTATAAATTTTTGTTTGGGTCTATATATTAAACATAATAAATGTCTATTGTGAAAAAGTCAAAAAGAAAAAAAAAAATGAATACATTTTATGTTTTACTTTACAAAGACACAAAATAACAGAATATTGCTTTCTTTCTTTTTCTGAGGAGTTAATAATAATTACATAAGTTTTAAGAATGTGCAGAAACAAAATGTGCTTACAGAAAAATGTCTGATTAAATTTAAGAAAATGAAAGCATAAATTTGTAAAAATAATTTTTAAAATAAAATTTAGGAACTTTTTATGAACTTAATTATCAAGTATTCAAGAATAAAACATTTGTAATTTGCATACATAAAAGGGATATTTTTTATTTATTTATTCAAAAGTTCTATTCTAACATTCACAATTCATTAATAAACTGTTGATAATGGAAATTTTACAAATTTTGGGGCTGGTATTTCAGTTCTTCTCTTTGATTTATTTATTCCTAAAATATTTGACATTTATATAAAACTGCTACATCATTGTTTAAAGTATCTTCACCATAATATCATGATATCACATTTCATTTTATTAACTTTAATCAAATTGACTTTGCATAAAATTAATTTGTCTTGAAAATCTGAAAATAGATACTTTCAATATTGCTTATTATGAATATTAAGCCAAAAGACTACATTTTAACATGTAGTGGTCATTCAGTAGATTTCTATTTTTGTTTTGTTTCAGAGAATTACATTATATTCAATACACAACTATTGAAATCATAGTTCCTTCTGCATTCCTCTGTAAAATGGTGGGAGAAATTGTCATTTATAAGTATGAGCTCACTAAGTTTTTATTTTTTTATATTTGCTATGATTTCAGATAGCATTTCTTTTAAGTTAATAATGATGCACATACTTTTTTCTTAAATATTTTTATGCTAATGTTTTTTGACATTCATTATTATGTCCTGATTATGATTTGTAATTTAATGAATTATAATTTCATTAGAATTCATTAAATAAAATTTTCAAAAACTCTTGAGATAAAAGAAAATCTAGCAGGCTAACAATGCACAAAATAATTTCCTTATTCTTTAGAAAAAAACAATACCTAAATAGATTCTTTTTGCTTTATCTAATGAACAAAGGCTTAAAAAATATGCAAAAAGTGATCATATTGCAGACAAAACTACTTTGTTATATGCAATTTAAAATGAAGCCATTATTATTCTATAAATTATTCTTATTAGTACCTTCAGTTTTGTTGATTTTAGCACATTTGGATTGATGTTTTTCTCTTATTCAGAAACAACAAGATGAGATTATATAAGAATAAATCAACATTATAAATTTATGATGAATAAATTTTATTTTGGAGACAAAATTCACGAGCACAATAAATGTAAAAGCACTTTGAATTTTTAAAAGATATTTACTAAGCTAAATTATAACAATGAAAATTTGAATATATCTTAATCTCTCCTTAATGCTGCAGGTATAATAACAAGGAATTCTGAAAAATAAATCACGATAACTAAAAGGATAAAATATGAACAATATACAAATATTGACTAATATAGCTAATTTTTTCAGTTGACTTACTCATAGAGCTGAAGTTTTAGATTTCTCGATTACAAAAAGTGAACTAGTATAACAGTTATTTTTTGATAGGTAACGAGAATATATGTTCTAATAAAATCTTTTTCTGTTGATTATTTAAATATTTCTTAAAGGTAATTTCAATTAACAAAACTGTTTTTTTAGAATAAACTAATTCTAAACAGGTATTAAAAAAAAAGGATTTGTAGAAAGTGATAGTATTTTAAAAATGTATAAATGAGGATATCAGTTAAAACAAGAAATTCATATCATTGTGCAATGAAAAACAAAAAACTATAAACAATAGTATTAAAAATGTTAGTTTCAAATCAACTATTGTATACTCTGGTACCATTTTTACTAAAAGATAAAACTAATATTTCTAAATTTAAATTAGACAATCCAGAAATAAACTAATTTTTCCCATTTAACTGTGAATAAAATTTCTATTAAATAATAATAGTATTTTAATAATATAATAAGCAGTCAGTTATGAGTAGAATTAGTATTAATAGTTTGAAAATAATTAAAATGGAAATATCTTCAATCCTGCATAGTTTAAACTGTATAAACATTCTTGAAAACAACCATAAAAGCAACATTCTATATTATGGTTAAAAGAAATTAACTCTGTTTCAGGACACAATTTCTGAGTGGGCATTTCTCTCCTCTACATCAGTCTTTCAGTATTTTTTTCATTCTCTTCACCTTTTCCACTTTTATATTCATTCGTTACTCCCCTGCCTTATACAACTGTACATACAGTATGATGTATCCCGAAAGTGACTGTTCATCTCCATGATGGTCTATTATAACAGGAAATCACCAATCACCTGCGCAGATGATAGACGTACGGGCACCTCAGAATGGAGCACTAACACACCGGGATATTCCTCCTCATGATTCTATCCAACCACACACCCCATTCTCTATGATCACTTATCCCATGATGTAGCCACTTGTCCAACCAGGAGAATGCCTTTCCTGTCGCAATCTTCACACTGTCTCAACTTGATGATCCTTACTCCAGTCAGTCACTGGTCCGATGGTCTTCACTCTGCTCATGGTTGTTAATCTGGTCATTGGCTTCATCTTTGATAACCCGTCACACATCCAGAATATGTTGTGAAATACTGTCAACCGATATGTTGTTCTGCTTCTGACCATGCTCATGGATGCCACCACTCATATTTGAAGACTGCTCACTGTAGTACAGAATCTGCATCTGGGCCTGTTTTGGGCGACATATTATACCAAAAGACAGCTTCTTCTGGTGAAATTTGGCTCTTTCCAGCTGCAGTCTTAATTGTCTGGTGATGTCTTTCGACAACACCATTCCCACTTGGCCTGTAAGCTGCTCTAGAGAAACACCTCACACCCCACTTCTCTAACATCTCCTACAAGGCTGCTGAGAGGATGGTGGTGCCATTGTTCATAAGTACCTCAGTTACTGGACCCATCTCCAAAAACACCTCCTCAAAGACCCTTGCTATCTAGATTCCATTTTCTGTTATGATTTGTCTTCATACAGCCACTTGTCCAGTTCCACAATCGATTATCAACAAGTATAGTCTCTGTTGATAATGTGTCAGGTTGATGACCAACTGGGTCCAATCTTCCTCCACTCACCCACTATATGTCTAATTGGTGCTGGATTTATGGACTGGATTGGTTATGCTGGGATCCCTAGCCAAGAACAGGGTTCTGTCCTATCCAAAATAATGCATGTCATAGAGATCCTTCAGTCCAGTCTGATTATCTTCAGCAACTATTTCTGCTTGTTTCTTTCATGGGTTTGTTGAGAAGCACCTTGTCAGCATCCTTGGTTTTCACCCTCCTCTTTCCGGCGATCTCTGACCTGGCCCATAAAGCCACTGTGATCGAGTCAGTTTTCACTTCAGTTCTTTCCAGTCCCCATTTTATGGCCAGGTTGATGCCCTTCATGACTGTATCCAATTCTGTCACATCAATATGGATGAAGTCATTTTTCTTTCGCAACCAGGCTGCATCTTCCACGGTGACACCACCTACTTCCAAAATGACTCCCAATGCTAGACTGTTCACATCACATCACAGAACACCTTCTCATCTGTTGAGTATATACCAGCTTTCTCTCAGTGGATCCTATCTTTTCACCTCTGCGATGATCTCCTTTAACATATTCATCGCTTTGTTGTTGACTTTCTTCCCAACTTTCTCCTTCAGCCAGTCTTTTGATGTAGCTTCATGCAATGCACAGCCATACAACAATGGGATAATGACCAACTAGCTTCCCACAAATTGAGAAGAGTTTTCTCATATTCAGAATATCCGGTATATTGGGAATATCATTTCCTCTTCAAAACACCATCTTACCCTTCATATTCATTTCCAATTGGAGCCTCAATGCTACTACCCCTTCCAACGATTCTAGATATTTCAGTCAGCCTGAGCCTGTCAAGATGACATATCACTTTATCAGCTGTTGCCACTGTTTCATCTACTATTATATCATCTATGTAAGAATCAGTGGCTTTTTTCATGGCAACCATCTTCCCTGGTATTTAAGTACTGTCATGATTTTGGGGATAGAATTTAGGCCAAAGCCAAACCTGGTTAGTCAATAGGTTCGGCCTTTATACCTGACCAACCGATATCTTCACAATTTTTGAGTAACATGGATCTGCAGGTAAGCAGATTTCAGGTCAACAATCGTCAAGGCTCGTTCCACCCATCTCCATTTTCACAGGGTCTCCCCACACATATCTATGTCATTTCCACCTGTATGATATTTGACAAATTCATTCAATTCTCGAAAATCCAATACAGGTTGAACTGTTTCATGGGCTGAACTACTGTCATTT